TCATTGGGCAGTGGGATCGTGCTATAATGGAGATGTGCACAGGGAACTAAGATGCAGGTAAGAACCACGGAGGAGAAAAAGTTTATGTTTGCCTTAGGATGAAGGGAAGGATGACGGGGTGAGGGCAGGTAGCCCCCAGAATAGCTAGGAATTTAAAGAAGTTCCAGGCTCAGGGACAACCTGGTGATAGCTGTTTGAGAAAGTGTTAGAAACTGGGTGACGATTCGTTCAGTAGATCATTCACTTCTAAGTTTTCATTAACCTGTGAACATTCCTCATTAATTCGTTTTATTTCTGTGTATCTTTGAATTGTTTTGCAGCAAAGAGCAAAATGGACAACAGAATGGTTGAATGCCTTTTTAGAAAGGATATTATATTATTGCAATCTAATTGTACAATATTATGTGTGTGTGTGTGTGTGTAAGTGCAAGCTAGGTCCCGAAGCCACCTCATTAGAGAAGTAAACTATACAAGGTTTCCCCCAAAGAGGTATACATACTTAACAGCTGATAGCTCAACTTTGAAAATGAAATGCATTTTAATAAACACTGCCTTTGTAATTATTCAAAGTGTGTGTATACTTTTGGGGGGACATCCTCTATTTGCCTTCTTTTTTGGGGGAAACAACCTCTATTTGCTTAAAAAACAAACACTGAAGACAAGTGGATGTAGAACAATTTTTTGAAGAATGCTCCCACCTAGCGGTCAAACTAAGGAATTTACTTACATGTATACATGAATTTGTGAGTTAATGTTTTATATGCTGAATATTTTCCTATTCACCAACAGTTAATAATTTATTATTTTCCTTAAGTTATATGGGATACATTAATTTAATCTGTCAAAAACAAAGCAACAGGCCCAACCAGTGTGGCTCAGTGGTTGAGCATCAACCTATGAACCAGGAGGTCACAGGTTGATTCCCGGGCAGGGCACATATTCGGGTTGTGTACTGCATCCCCAGTAGGGAAAGTGCAGGAGGCAGCCAATCCCAGATTCTCTGTCATTGTTGATGTTTCTATCTCTCTCTCTCCCTCTCCCTTCCTCTCTGAGAGAAGGTGAATAGAGTGAGCATCATGGTGGTGCAGATTACTGTCTGGAGAAAGTGTCAGGACGCAGTGGGAGGCAAGGGCTTCTCCTAACCCTTTGGGTTCCAGATCCTTCGCTGCCCTGAACTGCATGTCACCCCTTCAGCCAGCCGGGGGCAGCCAGCACCCTCCAGGCCAGGGGAGGTGGGGCACAGTCCTAACATAGTCTTCATTCTGGGCAGCTGCTGCAAATTGGCGACAGTCACTCTCATTTAAACCTGCTGCCTGGTGGTGTTGGCGTCCTGGGCTCTGCCAGCAACCAGCACACTCTGGGGTCTCTTAGAAGAAAATACTGCCCGCCCTCCCAGGCGTGCCAGGCAAGGCGGCCAGTAACCTGGAACTCTGCTCAAGGGAATGTTGCCCTGAGGGTATTTCTGGCCTCATCCTTTGAAGAGCCTGGGGGGCCCTCTAATCACCAGCTCCTGCATCCACACTTCTCACTCCCTAAGCCCCTAAAATCACCCTGAGGCAGCAGCTCACCAAGAGGACTTACAGCCTAAGGCACTTGTTGGCAAACCATGGCTCCTGAGCCACATGTGGCTCTTCGGCTCCTTGCGTATGGCTCTTCCACCAAATACCCTATGTGGGCACACACATACAGCGCGATTGAAACTTCATGGCCTATGTGCAGAAGTCAGTTTTTGGCTCTCAAAAGAAATTTCAATCGTTGTACTGTTGATATTTGGCTCTGTTGACTAGTGAGTTTGCCGACCACTGGCCTAAGGGATCTCTCTCTTCTCCAAACACCAGGCCCCCAGGTGCCTCTTATTAGATGACGCCCCACCCACCAGCCTGCCTCCAGCTCTGCCTTCTGGGTGAATGTGCACGTTTGTGTTGTTTAGAGCTCAGAGGCGTGCGGAGGCCTGTGTCCCCGAATCCTGTACCACAAATTGCACTCCTGGGCCAGTGACCCTTGAACAAAGCTACCCATGCAAGCTCAATATGCAGGTGCTCAGCCGGCTTTGGTCAGCCAGGGCCTCCCAGACCTGTGGGGCTGGGGACCCACCCCCAGCCCAGCTGCCTGCACGTTCTCCAAGTGGGAGGCACCCCATGCTTCCCTCCCTCCCCTCCCTCCCCTCCCAGTCCCTGAAATCACACTCAGGAGTACCTACCTACCTACCTACCTGTCAACTGGCCACGGTCACACTGTCTTGCGGTGTCCTGGCTTCTCTGGCCACCACATTTCTCACGGTGACACCAGAAGACACCACCGTCACCCTTTGGACCCCTCCCCAGCTCGTGGCCCCCAAGAACTCTCCGGTGCCCAGCCACATCCGGGTTCCGGATGCCCTGCCACCCCGGCCCGCGGGCATGCAGAACTCACCCCTGCCTGCGCCCTGGGCTCGCCTGGGCCTCCGGGGCCTGAGCAGCCTGCGGAGTCGCCAGTCCAGAGGCAGCCCGGCCGGAAAAGCACCTGCGGCGGCAGCTACAACCTGGCGACCCTCAGTTCCCAGGCGGCCGGGTTCCTGCGGGCCCTTGGCCTCTCCTGCAGCCAGGGCTCCTGGTGTCTGTCTTCCTTAGGCGCTACCCGTTGGCCCGCCCGGCCTTATCCCGAGGGCGTTTGCGCATGTGTGCTGTTTAGGGCCTGGAAGCAGGTAAATAGGTGCCTTGTATCTCATTTCCTGCGCGCGTGCCCTGACTGCCCCGACTCAAGCTGGGTTCTGTTCGTGGCCTTGAGGTGAGCGGCTGGCACATGCGCAGTTGGCAAGTGCAGGTCCCCTTGCACCAGCTGCTCTGGGCGGGCGGGGCCCTCCAGGCCTGGGAGGCTGGGGTCTGCCCCCAACCCCCTGCATCATCTGCCCTGCGGAGGGAGGTTCATTCCCTGAGCACGCTCAGAGGCAGAAGCTGCAAATGAAGGACCGTCAGAAGCATTCGGACTTGCTGCCGTGGGTCCTGAGGGTCTCTCTCTAGAATCCTCCCCTCCAGCCTGCCTGGTCCTACCCTCGCATCCATGAGCTCTGCTTCAGGGGAACACGCGTCTCTGTGCAGGTGAGGGTTTGGGATGAGGCAAGTGCCTCGTGTTCCCAAGACCCTGCTTCTGTGACCTGGCCTCTCGGGACTGGTGTCCTGTCCCAGGTTCCTGGTCACCCTGCACTAGGCTTTCCTGCACTTGTGTGGTTCCCACTTCTTCACCAGGCCTGTGGGAGCCAGGCCTCTCTGGACAGTGGAGCTGGGCCAGGCCCCAAAGACCTGCCTGGAGTCCAGTGTGGAGGGCCTACCCTGCAAATCAGGAGAAACCTGGCTTCAGATGATGTGCACGTACAGCCGCGGACACTGGCAGATGCCTGCTTCCCCCCAGGAGCCCATGATAGCGACAAAAAAGAAAACCACTGGGTTTATGCATTTGTTGTGTCCTCATGCTTAAGATTATACCATGATAACAAGTTGAGGCTAGAATCCTCTTTTTTTTTTTTTTCTCCTGCTCAAAGCATGTCATGAATTTAATACATTCTTTCAAACTCTTCTAATGAACTCACAAAGAATCATCTCCCTCTCTGCTCAGGGCACGCTGGCCTCTTCCCCGTTCCTGGAACACGCTTGCTGCGCCACCTCTGAGTGTGTTAGCATTTGCCATTCCTCCTCCTGCCAGGTCTGCAATTCCCTGGAGCATCTGCAGGTCCTGCCTTTCCTGCCTCTTCACATCTTCACTCTGATGTCAGCCTCTCATTATGAACTTCCCCAGGACCTCATTTAAAATTATACACCCCAACACTTCCCAGCTCCTCCGGTCCCATCTTTAATTTCCTCCTCAGCACTTACCACTAACTGTCTAGAAACTTACTTGTCTTATCGTTGGTCCCCTCCACTAGAATGCCAGGTCCCTAAAGAGAGGCGCTTGGGTCGGGTTTGTCCACTGCTGTAGCCCCAGATCTTGCCATGTGCCTCATGAACAGCTATAAGCATTCCTTTGTCCCGAGCATAAATCAACCGGTGAAAGAATTGAGCTGTCAAGTGTTCCCTCCTTCCTTACCTTTGTTTTTAGTCTTTCCTTGTGGGTGGAAATGCGAATGAAAGGTGAAGGAAAAAACCACACAAATGAATAGCCAGCTGAAAGAAAGAGAAGTCAGAGGAAGAAGGAGGAGGAAGGCCTTATTCTTGCAATAAAGGCTGTCCCTAGGACAAGTCTTGCATATTCAGCCCTTGCCACGATCCTGCATTTCCCTCTGGCACTTCCTGTAGGACACACAGTCCAAGATAATATCAGCAAAGTAAAGGTTTAACTAAAAGCAGTTACACTTTTTCTACTTGCTGAATAAATATCTACCATTTGCTCAGCAATGTATTCGCAAGAAAAATAGCTGTGATTTAAAATGATAGGTTTCACATTTGAATTTAGGATGAACAACTTTTCGGTTTGAAAGCCATGAATTGAGATCTTTCATAGCCACAGTGCAGTATCTCGTTAAAAGTAATAACACTCAGTTACCTCATGCTAACTTGCAAACAAATGTATTTATTTCGTAAATGTATAAATGCAGATATAAATAAAAAATAGTGTTGTCTTGTGGCATGAATCCAGTCAGTGAATAACATTCTCACACAATGCGAAGTCTTATGTATTGAGATTGACATGTTAAATATTCTAAACAGAAACCACATTATAAAAATAGGACACATAACATAGTTGGCGAGGAATGTCTGAAAATATAGTCTATGTCCCTACATTTGCATCAGGAAATTCATACTGATAGAAAATGTAGCCGAATATATTTTTACATAATCAATATCATCTGTTAACCTAACAAACTTCTAAGGGTATTATTCTTATGCAACTTTATATAAATAACTGCTTGAGTATCAATCGACCTCTTATAATTAGTACTAATGTCTATGCTGTGCTATTGATCCAGTTGTCATGGCATTTCAAACTGCCTCAGCGTCAGAAATTGCTGGCCCTTTCCAGGACACACTCTATGCTGGGGGTTTGCTGAGGAACTCCTTGTTGAAGAATTTTCTTGCCTCAACGTTGCTGAGGGAAACAGAGCAACGAGATGGATTCTGTCTTCTGTATTCAATGCTTTCAAGGATGGCGCTCTTGATCACCTGCAAATAGAGGCAAAAGAGGTATCATTAGTGCTGCTCTGAGCTCATTTAAACATCTGATTGCTCAAAATACAAACCCAATTAATCTTCTTACTATAGTATCTACAGTAATAAAAGAAAGATGCAAATTGACCATATCTTTACAACGCCCACCAGCTAACCAGGGGTATGCAAATTAACCCCACAAAGATGGCGGGTTAATTTGCAGACATGGGAATTCAGTGGCCAGGGGCAGGGTACTTGCATTATCACCACGGCGATGATGCAGGTGTTTTGTACCACCCCAGCCGCTCCAGGTCTCTGGGCAGTGTGGGGAGGCAGAATGGTGGCTCCAGGCTGGGTAAGAAAGGCCCATCCTGCATGAATCTTCATGCATCGGGCGTCTAGTATGTATATATTTAAATTCAACATCTCACCGTTACACTTTTGTTAAGCTCATATTCAAACATTCTTCCCTCCAGTACCAGACAAAAATCTATCCTGGGAATGTTCCAGATTTTGTGCTGATAAAATTGGGAATAAAATAGTAATAACATGGTAAATTTATTTTCATTCTGTCCTCCACTGGGAAGGCAATAAGAGGGAAGAAACAGCAATTACTAAGTCTAGAATTTACAGTTAGTGGACAAATGGAAATGAAGAGCCACAGGGAAGTAACAGACTCCCCCAAGTCTAATGAAGAGAAAAGGCATTGCTGGTGAATTTCCCTGCTTCCTCAACTAAATAGATACAGATATAAAACATGGATGTCCTCTATCTAGAAAACACTGGGCTTTGAGTTTTTATTGATGATGGCTATGTTTTATTCAGAATATTCTCTACATATACTCAAATGAATGGTGACTGCAACCTCTAAGAACTGCTATTACACTTATCACATGCTTCTCTGGTATGAGGTTAATCTAGTTAGAAATGTCTGGAAAATTTGGGATTTGGCTGAAGAAATTGCTGTAGAGCAATGGGAACGGGCTTCGGGAGAGAGATGTGGATTGCAGTCTTGGCTCTGCTGCCTTTTTAGAACTTTGTCACCATCAGGAAGGCCCATTCCCCAGGATGGGACTACAGGATTTCATCTTAATGACCCCTAAGAGAGAAGTCTCAGGACACAGAGACAAGTCACAGGGATAGCCAGCCTACAATCCCCTTTCATCTCTACCTCAGGATCTCTAAGCAACATTAACGTATTATCCCCACGTTCTTAAGCCCTCTGCCCTGGGGAGGAGTATGTGGCAAGTCTGAGCAGTGTAGGATCCCATGGCCCGCTCCCACCCAGAGCTGGTGTGGCCCACTTGGCCTTGGAGAGGTGTGCACAGAGGGGTTTCCCCATTCCCACAGCCGATCTCTCTGGGAAAGCCAGGTTCAATGCCTGGAGAAGAGAGAGGTGAGGCCTGGATGCAGCTGAGTATATTTTTATATAATCAACATCATTGGTTAACCTAACAAACTTATAAGGGTATTATTCTCATGCAGCTTAATAATAAGGGTATTATTCTCATGAAAGTAATATTCTGCGACTTCATGTCGGGCTCGATGGGCAGGCTCCCCTGTTCTCTAATAGCAACTTGAAACAACAAGCAGTTGTGTTGAGGAAAGGAGCCTATCACAGGAATATGCACCTTTTATTTGCTTTGTGATTTTTAAGTTTATATAGGGAGGGGTGGGCAAAAGCAGGTGTGCAGTTGTGAGTATGTGAAACAGAGTTTATTCTTGTATTGTTTATTAATTATTGTATTGTTTCCATATGAACAGCTGTAAAGCTACTGCCCACCCTGTCTGGATAATTGTCTTCTGGGAAAACTGGGCTCAAATGTTACAGAGTCTTTTAAAGAAGATATTTGCTGACCCCATTTACCCAAGAGTAAGGGAAACACAGTTTGTTCTATTGCAACAGAAGAGGCTTCTGGCCTGTGAGGGAGACTTGAGCATCGGCCTTCAGGAGCAACACATTTTGGCTACGTGAGATCGAGGGGAATTAGTGGAAATTCTTGAGTCTGTTTCCTCTTCTTTAAAACGAGAATAGTCATATGAATCTTGGCTTTTGTAGAGACTGATGATCATTTGTAAAAAGTACTTTGCACAGTGCCTGGCACATAGGCAACATTCCATAACTAGTGTCTATTTGTTATTATTTTCAAGCTGAACTATAGATGTGAAGCTACAATATTTACTAGAAGCAAAATCACCAGGTATAGCCAATAGAAGGCTTATTATTTGGTAAAAGTCGGCAAATCAATTCCGAGATCAAATGTGTCCTACCACGTCTTCTGTTAACACTTTTTTTAAAAAATTGATTTCAGAGAGAGAGAAAAGGAGAAAGAAGGAGAGAGAAGTAGAGAGAAACATCCATTTGTTGTTTCACTTACGTATGAATTCATTGGTTGATTCTCTTTTTTAAAATATATTTTTATTAATTTCAGAGGGGAAAGGAAAGGGAGAGGTAGAAACATTAATGAGAGAGTCATTGATCAGCTGCCACCTACACGCCCCCTAATGGGGTGGAGCCCACAACCTCGGCATGTGCCTTGACTGGGAATCAAACCAGGACCACCTGGTTCATAAGTCGATGCTCTGTCACTGAGCCACACGGGCTGGGCTGGGCCATTGATTGATCCTTATATGTGCTCTCACTGGGGATCCCAGTGATTGAACTCACAACTTTGGCATATTGGGACGACATTCTAATCAAAAGAGTTACCTAGCCCTTGCTACAACTTCTTTTAATAATCTCCCCGCCTGTGCTTCTGGTCAAGATGGTGGAGTAGGTAAACATTGTACATGCCTTCTCCCAGGACTACATCAGAATTACAACTAATTTATGGCACAATCAACCTGGAGAACCATCTGAAGACTAGCTGAAGAGAACTCCTAGAACTAAGGACATAAAGAAGAAGCCACATAGACACCGAAAATACTATTTATACTGCAATTTAAAATTTGTTTTAAAAGGAAAAAAATATCTCCCTTCCTTTCTGGAGATCAAATCACCAAGTTTTCTCCTTCAACACAGCAGCACAAGACGCATCAACCCTTATTACAGAGAAGTACTAAGTAAAATAAAAATCAGCTATTTCCTTTCCAAACACCTGAAAAGTTTTAACCTATAAAAGGCCAAAGGGGAGATTTATCCTGATAAAAACTGTTGATTCCTTTAGAATGAATTCATGAGCATAAAAAGTTAGCAGTATCAATATCAATAGTCAGTGTATTTTCCATAATTGGACCTTGGCAGGTGTTTCTAGGAAAAAGGACATTTTTTATAAATTAAAATTAATATTTATGCAATTCTGAAAGACCCGAATCATACGCAATGAGAATGTGCAAATTGAACCACTAGGTGGCACATTAATACTATGAAACCATTAACCAGATTTTTTTTTTCAGATTACTGCAAAAAACACCAATATACTATGATTTATAATTCTGTGCGATATAAACCAAAGTGGCTAAACCCAGTACTATATCCGATGCTAAATTGAAAACTTCCAGCATGATACATGGTACAACTTGATGCCCCCAAAAAAGCAATATGTCATTTTTGAATCTTCCTGATTTTTCATAATTAGAAGTAGTGTTTATATCTAATTTCCTCTTTCATTCACCCCTGAAATCCATTGAGATTCCAAATACTCTCTGCCAGGTACCCTAGCATTTACCCTCACATCCCCATTGCCCGCCTCTATATATGACATGTGTCATTTCTCACTTGTGTCATTCACTAGCCTCCTGGCTGTTGTTCCAGAACATTTAAATCTTTGGCAGTAAGGGCAGAGAATCAGAAAAGAAAAGGAACGAGTTTTAGTTCCAAAAGGAACAGATGTAGAACAGCGAGTTTGGAAATAATCCACAAGCAAATGTTAAATTCCAACAGAAAAATTAAAAGTGAGCCCAAAGAGGAAGTTATAGTATTTAATTGGAGAAAGAAATAAAAATTACAAAGATAGAAAAATACAAGAAGGCATACTGGTCTAAATTACTGAGAATTTTCTGCTTAATCTCTGCCTTCCCAAGGAATGAATACCAGTGTTGGGGAAGCAGCGACCTTTTACGTCTTATCATTTTTGACATTTAGAATGTGGAAGGGAAACAAAAAATATTTGTAAAATTAATAAGTTCACAGAAGGTTATCATTAAATGTTGAATTAAGCAGGATAAGGATTAACTCATGGGGACAGTGAGTCCTGGGTTGAATCAAAGGACAGATAAGATTTTATCAGTTGAGTGGAAAGATTGGGCATTCTCCATAGAAGGATAACTTATAAAAAGACTGAAGATGGAAGGTCATGGCATATCTAGGAAACATCTGGAATAGCTGAAGCACTCAAAACTTCCTTGTGTTTTTGTTGTTTTGTATTGTGTGCTGAGACATCCCTCTTTCCTAAAACAGTGCCTGTCACAGTAGGTACTCAATAAATGTGTTGAATTAATGAAGAAATATGATGGAAAGAGATTACAGGAAACATTAAAGGTAGATAGATGAATTTGGGCCTAATATGTAAGACCATGATACTTAAAAACTTCTAAATTATTTTTGAAAAGATGAAAACTTTAATTTGTACCTAGACACTCAATATGATGAAGAAATACCAAACTAAGAAGTACCCAAATGACTGGGTATGAGCTTTTCCTCATTTTAATTAGCATCTAATGTTTAACACCTTATAGAATTGTTTGAAAACAAAATTTAAAAGCTCATCATTATAATCATTGACGTATGCTGAATAAACTCACACACAATGGGCTCATAGAGTGTACCTATTAAATTGATACATTGAATGAGGGGGACTGCATAGCAGTACATTTTCTTGTGATGGCTGAATCAACGAGGTCCTACAGATCCCAGAGCTCAAATTCCCTCCAGATGAAAGTTGCTGCATAAGCAGAGCCGGTGGCCGCACTCCCTGGCCAGACACACACTCTGTACAGATTCTCCATGATCAGGAGCTCTGCCTCCAGGCTGTATCCTGGCCCTTGCTATCCCTTCCGCCTAACACATTAAATTCTTCACCAGTTTCAATTACATTTAAAAAAATCATTCACAAAAATGTTACTGGGTATTTTAGGTGCCAGGCATCGTGCTCAGTATCTCTGGAAGATACAAAGTAAAGAAGGCAAGTCATTCTTTTCCATCTGTAATTTAAGAGCAGAAGGCACTATGAACAATGATAACAATTACTGTTATTACCCCATTAGCTGATTCAGTTTATTGAGTGTCTCTTAAATGCCCTTAAATGATATTGTTTTAGTTAATCCTCACCCTAATCTGTAAGGCAGGTAGCATGGTTTCCCCAGACAAATGGGGAAGGTGAAATTTGGAAAGGTTAACCTACATGCCCAAGATCACGCAGCCCAAAAGGCAGCCAGCAAGCATTTGAACACCCAGTTTGGTCTGACTCCAGTCTGCATTTCCCTCATACCACACGTCTCCTAGTCTAAGTCACCAAATTTCAGGTTGCGTGAAATACTACTGGGGTGAAAGCACTTGGGCGACAGTCAGGGGAAAGGAATCTGGGAAGGTTGAGTAAGCCAGAAACCTGATGCCAAGGACGGACCCAGGCTGCTGTCACGGAGTGAGCGCAGGCAGAGCAGAGGCTTTCCGAAGAGGAACTGGAATTCGGGAATCCAGCTTCCCCATCGTGGGCCAGCCAGGATCTCCAGGGAAAATGCAGCCACGGAAGTGTACAGCTGTCAGAGACGGGGTAGCCTCTACAGAGTGAAAATTTATGCCCGCGTGTGAATTGAAGATGAGAATGTGCCTTGGCCTCAAACTTGAAAAGTGTCTTCCTAAGGAGCAGGCAGTCAAGTCTTTTCATGAAAAGAGTTTATATGCAGTGTCCAATTTCAAGCATCTCTGACAGTCCACAGCCAGCACATATAACCTGCTCCATCAAATGGCGTGGGAATGCGTGATTTGGCTTATGACTAAGCCTGATGGAGTCTCTAGCATCCTAACTGCAGCAGTTTCATTGTTCTTTATCATCATTTATCAAGAAGCTTTGGTTTTGATAAAATATATTTTCTCGGTAAAAAGTAGGTACTAGGAAGAGTTATCAGGGAGGGATAAAATGTCAGTGAAAACTGGAAGTCTTAGCTGGGTGTGAGGTGCACTCAGATGCATGTACACACAGACACACAACCAGCAATTACTTGAACACAAGTTTCAGTGGTCATACAATTTAAGATGAAGCTTATATCCATTCATTCAAACAACATTTATTTACTGCCCCAGTTGCTATTACTTAGGAAGACATGTCTATATTCTCTTTTTTTTTTAAAAAATATTTTTTTATTGATTTCAGAGAGGAAGGGAGAGAGGGAGAGAGACAGAAACATCAATGATGAGAGAATCATTGATCGCTGTCTCCTTTATGTTGCAGGATTAAGCCTGCAATGCAGGCATGTGCCCTGACTGGGAATCAAACCATGATCTCCTGGCCATGGGTAAGGCTCAGTGGTTGAGCATTGACCTATGAATCAGGAGGTCGATTCTGGTCAAGGGCACATGCCTGGGTTGTGAGCTCAATCCCCAGTAGGGGATGTGCAAGAGGCAGCTAATCAATGATTCTCTCTCATTATTGATGTTGATCTATCTCTCTCAACCTCCCCCTTTCTCTCTGAAGTCAATAAAAAATATTTTTTTAAAAACACACACACACAAAAAAACAAACAAACCATGACCTCCTTGTTCTTAGATCAAAGCTCAACCACTGAGCCAAGATGGCTGGGCCAGTTTATATTCTTAATTCTGGGCTTGGCAAAGATCTTGAGGTATATTCATCATGGTACAGAATTCAGACACACATAGGTAAGGTTCCCATTTAATGAATGAGCAGCTTCTGTTTGTCAGGCATTGTTCACACATCACTTGGTTAAAGAGTTGCCACTGCCGTTATGATAGATGCTGCTACACCTGATTTAGAGATGAGTCAACTGTGGCCCCCAAAGTTTAAGTACCTTATTCAAAGTCACCCAAGTAGCCTGTCTGAGATATAAACGTGATATAAAGTCCGTGACCTTGCTTCTACATGCTATGTGGGGACAGCTCTTGGAAACAATGAAATAATAGTATAAAATGTAGGCTCTGCCCATGTGGAGGCATTGGTTTTTTACTTGTGAATTTTATAGGTTCTTCTGGAGATTAATAATTCATGAAAAACAAAATGGTAAAATTTGGGTGGTATCCTTCATAAGCCTTGTTTTTATTTTTAATTAATTAAAAAGAAGTACTGCTATGGTCATGTGATATGAAATATTTGACATTGTCAATAATTGGAGGAGATACTTACATCGATGTTGTTCAGGGTATTAAAGTACATCAGATCATGCAGCCTCTTGAATGCTTGATTTGGATATTGAAAGTTGAAAGTTGAAAATGGTGATTCAGGGTCATCAAAGATATCAAAATCAGCTATTTCTTTCTCTTCCTTAGTTTCTCTTGGAACACCTAAATATTAAAAAAAAAAAAAAAAAAAAAAAAAAAAAGTCTCAAGTGGGATATTTGGAAAACTACAAGATATCTCTAAAACCCAGGAATAACACATACAAAGAGTCATAAACGTAACATGGGGAGCCCCCATTGAGGTCATATAATCTGTATATACATTATAGTGTCCCCATCATATTGCCTGAGTGAGGACTTCTGTGTTTTGATGGGCAACTACCAATTGCCAGGGTTTGCACCTCTGTGCCTAAGGGCCTCCTACGCCCCCTGCAACAGTGGAAGTCTGATCTGCTCATCAGCACAAGGCCGGGAACACTGATAAATCACTCCTCGCAGGCAGCAGGCAGCCAACACTCCAAGGACTTAGGCTTTAAACACCCGAGATCCCTTGCCTCATCCTGTGTAAGGGGAAGGATGATTCTGCAGCATAAGTTTATCCCATTTCCTAGCGTTTTCCAGCAGGATAAATTCTCTTCCTCGCAGCCGACTCTCTAACACATTTTTGCTGTCAGTTCCTTATCAAAGTTCCCTAGTTCACCCAAATGAACTATATGCACTTGAACCCTTTGCTCAGAATCAGCTTTTGGGGGAACCCAAAACCAAACATTATCTAATTTTCTTCATGCCCTAATCAGCCTTGAGAATTAACAGCGATAGAAAATTCTCTAGGTTTCAAGTTCAAGAACTAAGTGTGAGTCATAAAAACACCCATCCATATCCGTCCTTGCTCTGTCTTCCTCTGCCATCTAGAAAAAAGATCACTTTCTTCTCCATAGTTCCCTGTTAAGTCCCCCATGACTATTTTTGTGTGTCTTTCCTTTTACATCTATATATTCTGCTCCTAAAATAGTCTGATGTTTAGGCCTTCAGGATTCTGCCTGTCAACCTCCAGCTCTCCTTCGGTTGATCAATATTTTCCAGGATACTAAAGAGCTTATGGGCTCCTCTGGATGGGGTACAAGAGGATGACTTGCTTTGAACTTGATTCTTTTTCTATGAAATATAACCTGGCAACATGAAATTACCAGCCATGTTGTGCTGCTCAATTACATTCATCTTGTGGTCAGCTCAAATTCCCAGAACCTCTGCGTGATTTGTTCTGAAATAAGGGCTCCCTTAAATGGTGATATTCAAAGTATTTAACAAACCCTATGATAAGGGCCCCAACCAATCAGAGCAAACATAATCAGAGTAAAGCCCCAGAGTTTTTGGCTGAGCTGATTGAGCCAGTTATTAACTCTTCAGTTCTTAGATTGTGAAGAACCTAGGGGATCATGAAGTGAGAAAGATGGGGAGCACTTGAGGGACCCAGGATGGCAGTTATTCATCAAGGGAAGGGAAGCATTCAACGTTGTAACAGCAAGAGCCAGTGTGAACCAGCTTAATATAAGGCTTGCTCCTTTACCAGGTCTTCCCTTTGCAGAATACAGCCTATTCCCCACATACCTGGAGCCTTGTACTTTCTGAAGTTGATGTTGGCCAGGACAAAGTGGATGATAGTTGGGCAATCCTTGTCCATATCAGAGTTCTTGGGTTTAAAGACATAGCACTCCTTCAGCCCTTCTCGATCAAACACGTTAGGGTCGATCTTGGGAAAGGGGAGCTTGTTCATTTTAGCCCACTTTTCTGCAAGCAGAAGTTCCTACGGAAGAGAGGAAAAGAGGCATTTTGGAATTTCCGGTCTTCATTTGTTCAGTTGGTCTGGCCATCATTCAATATTCACTAGGTGTGTACCGTGTGCTAGCACTGTGCTTCTCGCTAAGACAGACCATGACCCTCCTCTCAGGAAGCTCAATCTCAAAAACTTTTAAAGTCCTCTGTGAACAAACTCAGTCCTATTATGTTAATTCTTGGTTCAAGGCTAGCTCCATAGGAGGCATTGGAAATTTTATTAATGAACTGAACTGAATGATATTATATAGATGTAATTGCTACAAAAGAAAAAGAATAGTATGGATTCTGGGCATTTTTAAGCCCTGTGAATGTTTGTTTTTTAAAAATATATTTTTATTGATTTTTCACAGAGAGGAAGGGAGAGGGATAGAGAGCTAGAAACATCTATAAGAGAGAAACATCGACCAGCTGCCTCCTGCACAGCCCCCACTGGGGATGGTGCCCACAACCAATGTACATGCCCTTGACCAGAATTGAACCTGGGACCCTTCAGTCCGTAGTCTGATGCTCTATCCACTGAGCCAAACCAGTTTCGGCCCTGTGAATGTTTTTTTTAACTCTCAGGAGTCAATGAACCTGTTACTGAAATTTTACCTATATCAATACACAAAACTAATAATAAATAATACATGTTATGTATGCAAAAAATATTTTACCTATGTCATTTCCACACCACAAATGATCATAACTTTTGCATATACAAAAATATTTGAGTTACTCTGCTTGATTTTTTTGGTAGTTGTTTGTATTTTCTTTTTTTTTTGGGGGGGGGGTTGTTTTGTTTATGACAAGTTATCAGTACATGTGCAGGGGCCAAGCGTGGACGGTACAGAGGTACCAGGAACAGGGAGGGTTGTGCGATTGGTTTCACATGTTAGGCTCCCTTCCTGGGGAGAGGATTGGACCTCCCCACCAGAATGAGAAGACGCCTGGGTCAGAGCCACAGCAGCTGATCTGCAGCTGCAGACACAGAATGGGACCAAGAAATACGTATTTGTTGTCGGCCACCGAGTTTTCAGTTTCTTTCTGCATCGAAGCTGACTAAGGCTGTGAGTAAGCACACACGTGATATTACATTTAAACGGGAGGATATAAATCAACACAGACATGCGGTGAACAAGGTTATTTCTATTTATATCAGCTTACGGGGGAGTGGGACAAGTCAGAAACGGGCGCTGGGGTCAGATTGTCTGAGTTAAAGTGTGAGTTATGGGACCTTGGGAACATTTCTGAATGTTTCCACACTCAATACCATCAAATATAACATAAGGATGGTTATAATAATACACAATCTCATAAGATTGCTATTAGAATTATTTGAGGGCTGAAGTATGCAGCGACACTCCGCTAATGGTACAATGGAGAGCATAAGTGACAACAAACAAACAAACACGGACCAGGCTATCCAATCTCCCAGAAATTGTGAGCTCCCAAACCCTCGGCAGGTATATCTCACCTGTTCCTATCTCTCTGCATCTCATGTTATAGCCTATAAAATAGAGTTAATGCTATTATCTTTCTCAGGATTGCTGTGAGGACTAAATAAGCTAATGTGTTTTCAAAACCTCAGTGATTTCTAATTTTTTAGAAAATACTTTGTGTTTTTTTGTGTTTTTTTTTAAATATATGTTTCTTGGTTTCAGAGAGGAAGGGAGACGGAACGAGAGATAGAAACATCAATGATGAAAAAGAATCATTGATCAGCTGCCTCCTGCATGCCCCGTACTGGGGATGGAGCCTGCAACCTGCGCATGTGCCCTGACCAGAATCGAACCTGGGACGCCCTCTCCACTGAGCCAAATCACCTGGGGCAGAAAAGAAATACTTTAAAATAGTACCTTAAACTTAGAGAAAAAATATCGTTTTCATTGGATTTTCACTGTTCTTGATGGTTGTGGAAAGTCATAAATTTGAAAACTCTCCCTCAAAACCACTTACAAAGAAATAAACATATGGGAGAACAAAAGATTTAATATTAAATCTTATATTCAAGCATTAAAGTCCATTAAAGCATTTGTTTCATAAACTACTAAACTAAATACAGAGTGAGCAAAAGTAGGTTTCCAGTTTATACAGAAAAATAATACAATCATTAAACAATAACACAAGAATTAACTGTGTTTCACATATTCACAACTGGAAACCTACTTCTGCCCACCCCTATTTGATTGTAGTTCACTGAAATCCCATGCATATTAGCACATTCTTGCTGGAAATTTGAGAAAACTTTTATCACTGACTCCTTTTCCCCATTCAGTTGAATTATTCAGCTGGTTGCTTCTTATCTAGCACTGGTATTCCTTCAAGACGTGTCAGCATCAAAATAAAAGCAAAAGTTCACAGTGTGAATCAATTGTGTGAGACTAAAGAGCAAAAAGAGCGTTCCAGTGTTTACAAACATGACTCAAGAAGATGACCAAGGATGTGTGGAGAAAGAGGAAAGGGGAATTGAATGAGGTAAAAGACCAGGCTATTTTTAGATAGATATTTTTTGCTGGAATTCGGAAGTGATGGAAACTTTCCCTTTCCTTATATGATCCTGATGTGGAAACGATTAAAACCAGTGACCTCAAAGATTACAGGATGGAAAAACCGTCTCCTCTAAGACGTCTCATTTCTCTGCTTGTAAAGACAGAAACATGACACAGACTATGAGTAGAGCAGAAGAGTTTGAAAAGAGTGTTTGAAAAGAAAGCATTGTGCGAAGACATTGTGGCTCCACACATTAGAGCAATATGCCAGAATGTTCTAGGAAAGCTATCCTTCTTGGTTGTTACTCGACACCTCAGGTGCTTCAGGTTTCCAGAGATTAACTCATGGTAAATTTACACAGTACTAACTAAAATGATTTTCTGTGGAGAGAACAATTTGATAGTATCCTTCAAAGCAATATTCTGTAAAATGTTTGTGCTCATTTTTGAGAATAAAACATCTTGAAAGACAGAAGACAATCTAAATAACAGAAATATAATTAAACTATAGTATGAATGGTACATTTTTATTTTACCTATTTATAAATAAGAAATATATTTATATCTATCTATTATGATAAATTAGCGTTTCTTTATAAGAAATGAGTATTTTCTCTATCCAAACCTAGGATATGCACTTTCTAAGATGTTTCTCATCGTTTTAAAGCAATTTTTAGATTATGGAAAGTTATGAAGTGTACATATGTAAATACATTTACAGAATCTTTAAAAATTATTGAAGCAACTAACGTAAGATACAAGAGATAGAAACTATAATTTAGAAGTCATTATTCTAAGGTTTTTTTTTTTGTGTGTTTTTTTTTTGCCATTCTCATTTCTAATAAAAGCATGTTGGTATTAGGATCCAAGAGCTTTGTAAAGCAACATGCATGAAAATAATTTTCTATGTCTAATCGTGTGTAGAATTTACATAACATTTTGCAGTTCTTGTTAGTTCTTCTTCACTAAGAGGTTACAGGCAGGGGAAGGGTGGGTGGTTAGGAAGAAATCAACCTAAGAACTTTTATGCATATATGCATACCCATGGACACTGACAATAGGGTGGTAAGGCCTAGTGTGGGGAGGGTGGGAGGGAAGGAAGAACACTTAGAAGAGGTCCATGGGGGTTGGGGGGTAAGGGGACCTATTAATACTTTCAACAATAATGATTAAAAATAAAGCATATATATATATAAAATGAATGTTGAATATTTGTATTCATCACAAGATATATGTTTCTCAAGGACCAATACAGGTTTAGTGGGCTGAGTGACAGTCTTCTAAAAAATAAGTAAAACTAGCCCTAGCTAGCTTGGCTCAGTAGGTAGAGCTTCAGTCTTTGGACTAAAGGGTCCCAGGTTCGATTCCAGCCAGATGCTTGATCCTCATATCTCATTATTGATGTTTCTATCTCTCTCTCCTCCCTTCCTCTCTGAAATAAATATATTTTTTAAATGAAATTAGAAAAAAAAAATTGCCTTAACCTCCTACGACCTGTGAATATAACCTTATTTGGAAAAGGGATTTTTATAAGTGTAATTAAGTTAAGGGTCTGAAGATGAGATCATCATCGATTATCTGGGCGGGCCATAAATCCAATGACAAATGTCCTTCTACCACATAAAAGTGTTGATAAGATAGAAGAGAAGGAAGAGACTGAGATTGGAATTGTTCGGCCAAAGTCAGGGAGAGCCTGGAGCTACTAGAAGCTGGGGAAGGTCAGGCAGAATTATCCTGTACAACCTTGGGAGGGAGTGTGGCCCTGAGGATACCTTGATTCCATTTCTGGCCTCCAGAACTGTGAGAGAGTGCATTTCTGTTGTATGAAGCCACCATGATGGAGGTGAGTTGTTATGGTGACCCCAGAAAATCAATACCAGAGGTAAATCTGGAAAAGCTACAATTACTAACAGTGGGTTGATGCCCACAAAGCTAAGTCTGGTTTGGCCATGATGATGTGAATCAATCTAAAAATCCTAAGTAGATCATATGTGGAGGTGCTAAGACAATGATCAGGCCCTAATGTCAATAAATAAATCAAGTTAATATGGAAAAACACTGATTCTTTCCCCATTATTTGTGGGTTTAAATGGAAATTTTACCCTGGGTGAAATATTGGGAGATAAAGTTCATTTAGATACATTACTTCTTTCATTTTGTAAAGACTGGTTCAAGTTTCCTTCCTCCTCTCTTCATCTTCTCCTTCTCTCACTGCCTCTTTCTTTTCTCCCTCCTTCTTTCCTTTTATTTTTAAGAGAATGAACTCATTGTTCTGGATTCTGGTCTTTAAGTATTTAAAAAGAGCACTGAAAAATTGAGCTAGATAAAAGGCAATATAATGTACAATAACCTAATTTACAGCACAATAACTCTAATCTATTACTCTCCATAAAATTTAGTAAGGTGAAAGGGAAAAACATCTAGTTGGAAGCTCTGAATTCTTCTATCTTCTTCACTTGTTTCTCAAAAGATCCAAAGGTGTTTTTTCCTAATTTCACAATCTGATTATTTTGTAAATGAAGACCCTGGCTTACATTCATAGCAACATTAAAGAATAATCCTATTAGAATAATTCCTGAATGGACCCTAATGGTAAGCTAAATTTGCATGGCATATACCTAACTTATTAAATGTTCAACAACAAAAAATGACAAAATGAAACATAGAGCTGCTTTTAAAAAATCAAATAAGAGTATTACTGAGATTCTTTATATCTGATCTACTTATTAGGGTGTGTCTACTAATCTAAAAATAAATAGTATCAGACATTGATATCATCAACTTTCAAAGCTAGTTATAATACAGATATAATAAATAAAATGGTTGCCTTTATCAAAAGTCAAGATATCATCATTCTCTATCTCCCTGACAAGATCTGAAAATTATGAAATGCTAATAATAGTAGCTGTGAAATAAAGTTAATGGTTCTAATATTTTGCCTAGCATTTATGGTTTGCTTTTTAAAAATGTATGCTTATTGATTTCAGAGAGGAAGGGAGAGGGAGAAACATCAATGATGACAGAGTGATTAGTTGCCTCCTTGTATGCTTCCCACTGGGGATGAAGCCTGCAACCTGGGCATGTACCCTGACCGGGAATTGAACTATGACCTCCTGGTTCATAGGCTGATGTTCACTCAACCACTAAGCCACACTAGCCGGGCTATGGTTTGCTTTTTTTTTTTTTTTTTTTTTTTTTTAATTACAAATGACATTCATATTTCAGTCTCAAAAATATAAAATTATTCATGATTTAGTCACCTTAATAAAATCATATTGCATATATCCAGTTATTACATTGGCATTTCTCCTCTCCTTCCAAAGGACTTTATGTATATTTCTCATCAATTTCTAAACCTTATTAATTATATCTAAAAAGTAAATCAGTGTTAAATAAATTTTTGCATATTCAGAATAGAAGTATTATGCTGTGTTTATAATGTTTAAAATTTTTTTTACTGGTATGGGGAAAATATTCCTGATATAATTTTAAGTAGAAAGAAGCAGTGAGCAAAGCTATGTGATCTTGGTGCTCACACACATGCATAAGAGGGACTAAAAGAAAATACCAAAATGTAAGCAGCTGTTGTTTACAAATAGCAGAAGCACTTGAGATATAGTCTAAATTTCCAAAAATTTTACAATGAGCACATATCCTTCCTAATTAGAAATAATGAATGAATCAAAGTACAGTTACAAACTAACAAACTACAGTGGTTCTTTTTAGATATACAAAATGATATTCTAGAACTTGTTTCCAATTTTCCCAACACCATTTATTGAATAGACTATCTTTACCTTATTGTATGTTCTTGCCTCCTTTGTCAAATATTAATTGACCATAAAGTCGTGGGTATAATTCTGGACTCTCTATTGTATTGTGAACATAGATTATGTATTATGGAATTGTATACCTGAAACCTGTTTAATTTTATTAACCAATGCTACCCAATATATTCAATAAAACAATAAAATAAAAATAAAACTTCCTGATGAAACCGGTTTGGCTCAGTGGATAGAGCGTCGGCCTGCGGACTGAAGGGTCCCAGGTTCGATTCCGCTCAAGGGCATGTACCTTGGTTGCGGGCACATCCCCAGTGGGGGGTGTGCAGGAGGCAGCTGATCGATGACTCTCTCTCATCAATGTTTCTAACTCTCTCTCTCTCTCTCCCTTCCTCTCTGTACAAAATCAATAAAAAAATATAAAAAATAACTAACTAAATAAATAAATAAAAATAAAACTTCCAACAGCAGGTCTTAGAAGTGGCAGATCTCTGATTTACATATAAAATGATGGCACAGACATTTTTATATTCCCGAAGGTGATAAGACTAAAAGTTATTTACCGCTGAAACCACTTTGGCTCAGTGGATAGAGTGTCAGCCTTCAGACTGAAGGGTCCCGGGTTCGATTTCAGTCGGGGGCATGTACCTTGGTTTCGGACACATCACCAGTGGGGGTTGTGCAGGAGGCAGCTGATCAATGTCTCTCTCTCATTGATGTTTCTAACTCTATCCCTCTACTTTCCTCTTTATAAAAACATCAATAAAATATATTTAAAACAAAACAAAACAAAACAAACAAAAATTATTTACCCCAGAACTAGCTTCTAAGCTGTCGCCTCAGAATCATCTACTGAAATTCACCTCCCCACTGCTTCTCAAGACAGCCTGCTCTTGGTTTTCACAGTCACCCACTTTGGCACTGTGCCTCACTGGCCAGTGCTTGGATTACAGAGAAGCCTTCTTAATCTTAATCTTTTGTCCTCCACTCTCCACTCTCAGATTAATCATCCTAAAATTTCAATTTCATGAAGTCATTTTTCTGCTAAAAACCTTTCACCGAGTCTCTCTTTTCTATCATCTAATTTTAAATTTTCCCCTAACACCCTTCCAATGGGAGCTTTATATCTATCACTTCTAATTAGATCATGCCCAGGTGTCTCTGATGTGCTTATTGCCATCGCTGTACCATCTCTGTGACGTTTCCAACCTGTCCCATTTATTTCCCTGCTCATCTACTCAGATGCACACCAATGTATCCTTATACAAATCTCCTATCAAAGGACGTCATGCATATTTCTCATCCATTTCTAAACCTTATTAATTAAATCTAAAAAATAAAGCACTGTTAAATAATTACGTAAACCCAAATAACTATTTTACAGTAAGTTTCTTGGTTTCCTTCAAAATGTCTGTTAGGTATAAAATTCTCCCAACACCCTCAAAGCTAAAATGTTATGGAGATCAAGTACCGTGTTTAAGCCGAAACTGGTTTGGGCTCAGTGATAGAGCGTTGGTCTGTAGACTGAAAGGTCCCGGGTTCAATTTCCGTCAAGGGCATGTATATTGGTTGCGGGCACATCACCAGTGGGGGGTGTGCAAGAGGCAGCTGGTCGATGATTCTCTTTCATCAATGTTTCTAGCACTCTATCCCTCTCCCTTCCTCTTTGTAAAAAAATCAATAAAATATATTTTAAAAAAAGAAGTTCTTATAAGCAGAAGAGGGTTTGAGTACTCTTAATGTAGACAATAGGCTAATGAGATAAAAAAATTGGAATAAAAAATCAAGATATTTACAAGGCATGCAAAGAATGTGGTAGATAATAGAATGCTACATAAATTGTTCTTACCTTGAAAGGAGGACTAGAGTCACTTGGCCTTGCAGAAAAGTCAAAGGAGATGATGAGATCGACTCCCCTCTGAGGCCTCAGGATCAAGGGGTAAGGCAGGTTAAATGTGAGGCCACTGTCCACTATATGAATCTTTTTACTTTTGACATCCAGAGGCTCATATATTTGCTCAAATTCATCAGGATCTTTTAAAAGGAAAAAAGGAAGAATGAATTAAACAATCATTTATCATTACTTAGGATATAAAAATAATTTATTATATAAAGACTAGTAGCCCTGCGCATGAATCCATGTGCCAATAGCTCTCTGTGGGGCTTGGCCACTCTGCATACGCAGCCCAGAGGCCCATCCACAGCCGGGCATGGATACTTGCCTCATTGCCGCAGCGATGAAGCAAGCATTCCACCTGGCCACTCATGCTGGCCGCTCTCAACGGCCGCCCCCTGGGACTGGGGGATTTCGGCAGGGCTGAGAGGACTGGGCACCACCATCTTGTGGCTATGGGTGTTGCCATCTTTGTGATGGAGTGATGGTTAGTTTGCATATTATCCTTTTATTAGATGGGATATAAAATAGAATCCCATATGGCAAGGCTTTGAAGACAAACAGAGCTGAGCATGACTCCAACTTCAGCAACTGATAAATTAATGATTGTCTTTAGCTCTTAGTTTCTTAATCCGTTATATCCAGGTAAAATAATCTATCCAATTAAGTTGCTGGGGGATTAAGTAAGATAATGCATGGAAAGTACATTTATCAGGCCTTGGCTTTAATTCTAAGCTCTGAAGCATGAAATATTAATAAGATATTAGCATTACATGGGTCTTGACTGGTTTAAATACATTACCTCATACATTATCTTATTTAAATCTCATTATAGATGTGTGAGTTAGAGGAAATCTATAAATAGAAGATAGAGTAAATTAATCTCTCAAGTGATACAACTGGGGAGTGGCAGAGTCTGAATGGGTATCACACTGCACCTCTCCAGGTGATTGGAGTTCAAGAGAACAATCCTCTTTTAATTCCAAGATTACATTTGAGAGAAAAATCGTTACTAGTATGTGGACCAATTCCCAACTCTGGCATGTAACTAAACACCATGTTTCCAACCTCTAGATAAATTGACAGAAAGGCATGTTTCAAAGCATATATTAATAGTTTTGCAAAATATTACCAGATAGTCTATACACAAAGTAAGAATTCCATGATCAAGCAGGTTTGAGAAATATAAGATTCCATGGCTGAAAGTAATGGGCAGTTATATTGTGCATTCCCTGTTCTCCTTACTGTGACTTGGACTTAGAGCACTTTTTAAAAAATGAAGATGCTACTTAACCCTCATATAGGTACCGCTAGTTTTTTCTATTCTGTAAGTGAGCTTGGAGTAAAACGTGAAGATGGTTGCATTCTCACTAACCTGCAGTTCCATCAGGATCAGGTTGTTGGGTTTTAGTTTTACTATCCTCTCATTGTTTACTGAGGCTAATGCTAAGTTACTGCTCAAGATTGTCCAGCCAATAAATAGGCCAGTCTGCTTTTAAAGTGTTATATCCGAGGCCCTTTTGGTAGAACTTCTCAGACTCATTAGAGTATCCCATTGCACTGTGGATTAGGGGATGAAGTTGCTGGTTTTTTCAAAATTTATTTGAACTTGAACCCCATTTATATATAACATCTGCTAAAATGTCATGGAGAGTTTAAAAATGCCACTATGGGAGCATATCCTCCCATAATTCAAAACAGACATGGTTTCCCAACCTGTAAATGAGTTCATCTGTGTTTTGGATAGGTATGGAAACGGAAACACGCTATGTTTTATAACTATGACTATTTCCTTAAAGTGGGTAAGCCGTGAACATTTCCGAAGGTCATTTTATAAATATATCACACAGATTCCATTTAGGATGCGCAAATATTTGGAAGTTTGTGTTTTGAACTCTGGCCTGAATGAACTCGTGTCTCAATTTCTTATTCCAGATGGTGTGTGTCACAGTCAATAGGATAAACACAAAAGTAAACAGAGAAGTCATGGAACTAATGGACAGCTCCTCCAAAATTAGCTTCCATCCATATACAACTGTTCTGAAGTAAACAAATGAGGGGGGTTTATCATCTTGTTATTTTTCTTGTTTTCAAAAGATTGTCTGCAAGGTGTAGAAATAGGGACAGAAATAAGGCACTAATTTTTCTCATTATAGGTTGAAAGATGGTTTTAATTCTAAGATGCTCATATTTTAATCGGTTCAAAAAATATCATAAGGTAAATGAAAATGGAACATAATATATAGATTAGATAAAAATCTTAATTCTCTTTTTGCATAGTGAGGAGTGTAAAAAAAAAAGTATGGTATTTTATGCCGAAACCAGTTTGGCTCAGTGAATAGAGCTTCGGCCTGTGGACTGAAAGGTCCTGGGTTCAATTCCGGTCAAGGGCATGTACATTGGTTGCGAGCACATCCCCGGTGGGGAGTGTGCAGGAGACAGCTGGTCGATGATTCTCTCTCATCGATGTTTCTGGCTCTCTATTCCTCTCTCTTTCTCTCTGTAAAAAATCAATAAAATAATAAAAAAGATGGTATTTTAACTGTATAATACATAGGAGTTTTAATAAAACTTTTATGAACTGAGATAATTATAGTTTATGTTAAATTCTTCAACTTTTCATCCCATACACATGGTAATCTTAAAATCTGGAAGTAACTGGAGAGAGATAAACAGGGAACATCTTAGTAAGGGCATTGCCTGAAAAATCACTTTTGAATTCAACAAATTCTGTCTAAAATGCAGTCATTTTTAGCAATATTAGACTGTAAATAAATTTGAATAAATTTGGCACTGACTGATCTGGATTTCTGATTAAAATCAATGTGTTATGTGCATTATTTTTCAAATAGATAAATACAAAGTGAGTGAAATAGAATTCTAACAGGAGACATTCTAAGGAATAAAATGTAAAGTTCTTTCCCAAGATCATGAATTTAAAACAACTTTAGATGAAAACAATTCAAAATATCTCAACAAACTTGAAATTCACACTTAACTGAGAATGCTATATTTCATCTAGCAACCCTCGGGTTTGTATTGAAGGTATATATAACCAGATATAACCTATTGTCTTAGACTTTGATGCCATAAACATAACACAAGGGATAGTAAGTTCCACTCTTTTGTTCAAATCACACTTCTGAATCTACATTAAAGAAAAAATTATAAAACTCCCAGGAAGTTGTTACAATGTGGAGTGCAGAAATGCAGAAGGCAAGAGTGCTGTGCAAACCACAGAGGAGCCACGCTGGGTGATGCGATCTGAGCAATAATATAAAACAGATGTAATAAAGCACACACAGACGAAACGTCCATTTTTACATCAGCAAGACAATGACTAATAAAACCCAGGGCCAAGGGGAAGGGAGTGGAGCAGAAGGGAAAGGCTTTGAGGTATGTCAAGAGGCCTGTCTCCACTCTAGCTCTGCTGAGTCATTTTAGGCAAAGATGAGATCTAACTTCTGTAATCTTCCTTTACTGTGGAGTAAAAATTACCGAAGAACCTTGTTAGCGAGTCTAAATACTCTACAAAGCTAAATTTGTTTGAAAGCCCTCATCATTCATCCTTAAAGCCTACGTTTCTAAAGAAGACACATTTAACTGATATTATAATGGAAATGAATATAATCAAGTGTCACAACTTAAAAAAAATAATGTCAGGGACTGTAAGGTCAGGTGTTTTTTTTTTTTTTTTTTTTGGGGGGGGGAGGTGAGAGGTTGGATGAATTTATCACAAATCAACTTTCATTCTATTGTACAGGAAAGGGTTTGGATTGAAGGTATATAACCAGACATAACCTATTATCTGCAACTTTGATGCCATAAACAACACAGAGGTGCAGTAAGTTCTACTTCCTTTGTTTAAATAACAGAGTAACTTTTCTTTTTGTAATTTCCATTGTGCTCAAGCAACACACAGGCACAGCACTACCAAAACAACAAAATCCAAAGCCTTGTTCTAATTCCATTGTATAGGTATGATGCTTAAACAAAGTTTTTGGGAAAAATTCTATTGATATTTTTATAGCATCCAGTCAATGTCCTTAGAAATGATTGAGCAATGACACCTGGGCGGTTAAAGGAAAAATGATGGTGTGATGAAGTAGAAAAATGTAAGATGACAGGATCATTACAAGAAAGATTATTAGTATTGATTAGTCACCAAGGTAAATTTAACTTTTAATCTAAAACACGGATGCACAGAAAAAAAAAATTATTCTTGGGATTTGGCCAAGAGTGAGTGGGTTCTTGCCAGCTGGCCTTAAGGAAGTTAACTAATGAAAGAGGTCCAGATACAATAGCCAGATGGGCACTGCAGACTGGCAAACTTCACTCCACGCCACCCACGGCATCTCCTGTCTGACTGTCCGGCCTGGAAAGTCAGACTCAGGACACGGTTACCAGACTCCCTTACAGATCCAGTCTGAATCTGCTGAGACTGGTCACTGGCCAAGGAGGAACACCCACGTGAGATTTGAGGAAGTGAGGCAGAGGTTATATTTCTGCTATTTCTATTGCCAGGCACAGTTGTGGGGGCGTTTGTTTTAACTTTTCATTCCAAACACATGGTAAGCCTAAAACTTGGAAATATGCAGAGCTAGATAAACAGAGTCTCTCTTAGTAAGGGCATTGCTTGAAAAAGCACTTTTCAATTCACTAAGTTCAGTCTAAAATGCAATTGTGTTTTGTTTTGTTTTGTTTTGTTTTTTTTTGAACAACATAAGCATTCTTATTAAATGTATTGGGGTGACATTGATTAATAAAATTATAGAGATTTCAAGTGTACAGTTGAAACATGAGACATCATCTGAATATTACATTGTTTACCACAAAAGTCAAATCTTCTCCCATCATTTTTAGCAATGTTGGTCTGTAAACAATACATTTGAATAATACATTGACCAAACCGCGGTTATTCTGACGTGTTTTTAAAATCATTTTTGGAAGCTTCGTCTGGACCTTGTTCTTCCAAGTCTTTGTAAACATCTAATTTTGTAAACATCTAATTTCCTGCTTTAAGACCCTTTCAGTTAAACAAAGGAGTGGGCTTCCTGTTTTCTGTGAGTGAAACTTGACCAGTAGAGAGAGGATCTAGGTCTGTCTCAATATTGCAATGAAAATGTTCTATGCTGACATGACTATGCTACTTCCTGACCAATGTATTTTTCTGAAAATAAAAACACAACAACAGTTATTTGAAGCCTTATACATACTAAATGCATGCTTTTGTAACTGAGTCTAATCGGGTTAGTAATAAGGAAGCAAGATCTCCTGGATTAGCTTCCCCGGGTTACGTTTTCTGTGCTTACCGGTGACAGCTGCATCCAATTCATCTTCCTCCCAGGACTCCTGTGTGTCAAAGTCTCTGAAAGGAGACAGTGGGTAGGATGTATTGAGATTCAAGCCCAACATGAAGTTGTGCACCTTCCCAGCACGTCCCTCTCTGGTGTTGAATAGTGCTGAGTCACTCATCAAGGCCATTATCATACGCTGGACCCAACTTGCTTGATAATCGTTTTGATATTCCTCTTCAGCATCTTCAGCTTCAGTACCTTAAAAAAAAAAAAGCATCATTATACAGATTCCAAAATTCATTTTTTTTTTAAATCTTGGACGGACAATTGAATGTCAGAATTAACAGCTCTATGGCTTTTGATTGAATGTTTATGTGCATAAATTAGTACACTAAATATTTGTTAACTATTTTTGTCCTTAAATTGTTCTTACTTTACCCTTTACCTATAGTTAGTCTAAGATTGCATTGTTGATAGTGTCACGTGGTCTAATCTTAGATTTCCAGGCAAACCTTGCTTCTTTCTCCCCTTCCCCATCCTTTGCTTTTCTTTCTTTCTTTCTTTCTTTCCTTCTTTCTTTCTTTCTTTCTTTCTTTCTTTCTTTCTTTCTTTCTTTCTTTCTTTCTTTTTTTTTTTTTTTTGCCTTATTTACACAAATACAAATAAACACACAATACACACACACAGGGAAAATCCACAGTACCTTATCATCTTTATTTCCTAAATTTCCTTCTCTCACCTATTTAATAAACTTCCAGAAATCATGTAAACTGAACACAGACAACGGAAGGATTCAACACATATTTCCCGCTCAATAAACACCCTTATAAACTGTCATTCATCTCTACGTTTGGCTTTAAAAATCTGTAATTTAAACACTAAAATGGTTTAAAATTCATCAGTCTTCCCAAAGAAGTGGCTTTTAATCTTCCTTAAAACTATGCACACATCACTACTACTCGGAAGCTTTGCTGTGTAGTTACTTAGAGCGTTGGCTCCATAGTCAAACTGCCTGGATTCCAACCCCTTCACCTCTGTTTCCTAGTTAGTTAACGCCTCTCAGCCAACTCAACAGAAAACTCTGTAGGGTTGTTGTGAGGATTAGCTGAGTTAGTGCATTCATGTAAATTCCTTAGGAAAGTGCCTGACTTGTATTCAATTTTTTTTTTTTTTTTTAAAGAGGTGGTGGGTGATTTTATTTTATTTTTTTATTTTTTAAATATATTTTATTGATTTTGTACAGAGAGGAAGGGAGAGAGATAGAGAGTTAGAAACATTGATGAGAGAGAATCATCAATCAGCTGCTTCTTGCACACCCCCTACTGGGGATATGCCCGCATCCAAGGCACATGCCCTTTGACCAGAATCGAACCTGGGACCCTTCAGTCCCCAAGCCGATGCTCTATCCACTGGGCCAAACCGGTCTCGGCTTGTATTCAATTTTTAATAAATACTTTTTACTAGTAGAAACAATGGTAGTAGCAGCAGAAGCAACAGAATAACTGTCAGTGTCAATATTATTCATTCACAACCCAAATCTGAGAATACTGCATGGTACAGTGTGATGCCAGCCTGCCTAAATCCCTTCTGCTCAGATTTCTGGAACTCTGTATATAAACATACATAAAAGATGTTGAGCAACAGAAACATTCATTCATTGCTAGTGGGAATGCAAAATGGTACAGTCACTAAAGATAATAGTTTGAAAGTTTCTTACAAAACTAAATTATACTTCTATCTTATGATCCAGCAATTACGCTTCTTGGTTTTTACCCAAAGGAGTTGAAAACTTACATCCACACAAAAATTTGAATGTGGATATTTATAGCATCTTTATTCGTAACTGCCCAAACTTGGAAGTTACCAAAATATTCTTTAGTAGATGAATGAGTAAACTGCAGTACATCCAGACAGTGAACTACTATTCAGCACTCAAAAGAAATAAGCCATCAAACCATGAGAAGACATGAAGGAAACTTAACTGCATGCTACTAAGTGAGAGAAGCCAATATGGAAAAGCTACATAGCATATGATCCCATATATATATGGCATTCTGGGAAAGACAAAACTCTGAGGACAGTGAAAAAATCAGTGGTTGCCAGGAGTTGGGAATGGGGACAGAGGGATGAATAAACAGAGCATAGAGGACTTTCAGGGAGGTGAAACTACTTGGTATGGTGATAAAATGGAGGATAAATTCATTTTATATTTGTGAAAGTGTACAGAATATCCAGAGTGAAGCCTAAAGTTTGGACTTTGGGTAGAGATGATGTATCAGTGTAGGTTCATCATTTATAATATTGTACCACTCTGGTATAGAATGTTGATAGTGGGAGAGGCAGTAGGGGAAGGAAGGAGATGCAGGGGATATATGGGAACTCTGTTCTTTTTTTACTCAATTCTGCTATAACTTAAAACTACTCTAAAAATAAAGTCTATTTAGAATGAAATAAATGAATATTAAGATCTAATAAAAAATCATCAAAAACATCCTGAATAAATTTCATTCTCCAATCTAGGTTGATACTAAACCATATTCAGTTGGTTCTTAAACTTCTCAGCCTTAAGATAAGCATCCAGTACTTCAGAGATGATCAATGTACTGATCGATGTTTTACTTAATAAGTGACAAATCATTATTTGATCTACTTGATAGTCCCTAAGTCATGACATGATTAATTCTAGACATGCTAGGCATATACTCACTCTCCGCAGTGTATTGGCTAGCTCCCTTCATTAAAAGGAAATTAAGAATTAAAAAAAAAAAAAAAAGATGTGAGCAACCAAAATAATTTAAATGACCAACATGAAAGAGCAGAATTTAGACTCAGTTCCTTCCAGAACAGGGTTCTTTCAAGTGCGGTTCTTGCCTAAGGACCTGAGCTGCCATAAATACTTAGGCAAATTATTGGCTACATAGGTCAGGAGGACAGTAGGCAAGCAGGGTCTGAAGCCCAGATTGTACGCCACTGGCCATCTTGTGCCTGGTCAAGAGCTTTGTCTGCCCAAGGAAGGTCCGTTCCCTTTTTACATTTTCACAAGAAGCTGCACACTAAGCAAGCTATGGGCCTGGGTAGCTGCATTGCCCAGAGAAGGCACCTCTGATGTGCACAGACTCATCTTGTGAGAAAGTAACAGCCCATTTATGAAAGAGAACTTTAATTTTAGTATTAACTCAGCAAGGATAAAACGTGCTCTTTTGTTATCTATAGCATGACAGGTGGAATTCCTTATGTTTTGGACAAGAAAGCACTTAATGCCTTTTAAAATGTGTATTCAGCCCTAACCTGTTTGGCTCAGTGGATAGAGCGTCAGCCTGCGGACTCAAGGGTCCCAGGTTCGATTCGGTAAAGGGCATGTACCTTGGTTGCAGGCACATATCCAGTAGAATGTGCAGGAGGCAGCTGATCAATGTTTTTCTCTCATCAATGTTTCTAACTCTCTATCCCTCTCTTTCTCTCTCTGAAAATAAATTAAAATATATTAAAAATAAAATAAAATCTGTATTCAGACTCTAATAGGACATGTTCACCCAGCTGTTATCAAAGCTTTTCAATCTTTGTTTGATGTTTGTAATGTTTTGTTTTTGTACAAATGGTTGTATCAAACACTTTGTCAAAACATAAAAACACTCAATTTTCACACATTTGCAACAAATATGCTGGTCCTTGCCTTCTCCCTGCCCTCACTCCATCACTGACTTTCCTGACCCACATTAAGCTAAAAGCTGTCTTGTCGAAATGTAAAGGAACTCATTTAGACCACAAAGTAATAGACGTAACAAAGAGTTCTCCATAGTTCTACCCAACTTGCCCCCTTCCTACGACATGAAATGTTAGCAATGGGATAAAGGCACAGGATGAAGTGAGAATATAATTTTTCACATGTTATTTAATAATATATTTTTCAAAGACAAAATTTAGATTAAAACAAAACAAAACAAACAGCTAAAGGTGCTCCCCAACCACTATTTCCATGCTGAAAGCCCAGTTCAATAATCAGATTTAAAACAGAACTTAGTATTTCTAACACCTCAGTTTGTTCTCCATTTGTTCAACTGATAATATTTTTGAGGTATTAAAAAGGCAAGAAGGGATGTTTCTGTGTTGCATATTTTATTGCACATACAGCATCAATTCTCTCTATGAACTGAAAGCTGTGAGGCTACCACTCAGTGCCTTCAGCAGAGACTGCCATGAGCACCTGGAGTGACAGGTCAGAGGCAACATCCTTTCCCAATGGACTTCTGCCAAAGAAGGTCCCAGCACTCTTACCTTTGGGTCCTTGTGATTCATCATCACTATCCGAGCTATCGTTGCTCACAATGTGCTTTGCTGTAATATTTTCTGTGGAAAGAAAGAAAAACAATTACAGAATTTCAGGTGCCAAGACTCACAATTAAATTTACTATATGGGGGCCTGGCTAGTGTGGGTCAGTGGTTGAGCCTTGACCTATGAACCAGGAGATTACAGTTCAATTCCCAGTCAGGGCACATGCCCAGGTTGCAGGCTAGATCTCCAGCAGGCTCCAGGAGGCAGCTGATCGATAATTCTCTCTCATCATTGATGTTTCTATCTCTCTCTCTCCCTCTCCCTTCCTCTCTGAAATCATTTAAAATATATAAATTTACCATATGGAAGTAACTTCAGCAAACCCACAGAGTGAGAGCTGCTAGATTACTAGTATAAATTTAAATCAATAATTAGCATGAACTTAGATCAATTTTTCATTAAAAAACAAAATTTCCCAGGAGAGGAAAAGTTAATTTAAGATTTATTCATTCATGACTTAAAGGGAAGAATTTTTGTTTATCTTAATTCTGACAGAAAGAATAGCCTGATTAAAGGAAGCATATCATTATATAAAAGTTGTTTTTCCCCCCAATCAAATATGCTTAAGTAGTGTTTGTAAAGAAGGTAAATGCAGGTGAACCCAAAATCTACAGGGGGCTCCAGAGCTGTTTCATCAAAATAAATGAAAGTGCCTAATATAAGGTATCTTTTACTTTCAATAACACTGACCATTTTCTGTTGAAATGTGCCTTTTGTACTGAGAATTTGCGCTTCCTCAGAACACAGTAAGAGAGTAGTTTTAAAAACTAAAATAGAAACTACAAATCCTTAAAACAATGACACAAGTAAAAGCTAAACCAATAACTAGTCTTTTTTCAAGTAAAAAGTACCTAAATTATAGGTACATAGACCATTGTTTTTAATCATCATTCATAGAAAAATCAAAACTTCTTTGGACACATATAAAAACCACTCTCTATATAGTAACTTATTTATTTCTTCCATTAGTCAGTCAACTTATTTTAAGAAACTGGCTCCAAATTCATAATTTTTTAGTAATAAAATCATTTGGGGGCTTTAAACTCAGAGAAATATAGATATAACACATTATTCTGCATATGTTTATTATAAATGCATATCATGTATTTAAATGATCAAGATTATATATTGAAGGGATAATAAATGCTTAAAGCAATAGACTTTTTAATTTTTAGATTTCTTTCATTTTACTGGTATATTATACATATGAAATTCATTAAAGGAAAATAATTCACTGGCTAACATAATTATTCATTTTATGACTATTACAGAAAAGTACTAGTAATTTTGTTATAGAGAAGAGGAGGGATATAAGAAATGGTCCATTCCAGTGTTATATGCATTAAGTGTCTTTTAGGCAGGACAACATTTTCTTTCTTTAAACATTTTTGGGGTCATATTCAATACTATCATTTAAGAAGATGGTTCACCAAAATATTGCCTTCTTCCTAAGGAAATTTTTATGATATAAATAATTACATATTCTAAATGTATCTATTTCATTTTAACTTATCTGATTGTGGTCCAATTCACCTTTAAGAAAACTTAAAGGTGAATTGGACCTTTAAGGGGGGAGGGAGAAAAAACAAACACCCTTTTAAGAGGTAAACTTTGGTTGGCCTGCAGATGAAAGAGCCACCAGGAGTCTACCGATTCCCCTGTCACCTCTCTGGTCTCATTTCTGGAAACCCTTCTGTAAGCTGAGGTAACAGGCATCCTGCTGACCAGGGTTCTCAAGTTCACCATATTCCCCCTAAGTCTGACACACAGAACAAGAAAATAAACTGCCAGACCGCTGGCCTCAAAAGGGATGCCTCACACCAAACAATAGTCTCAGTATGATTGAGTGTAAACAGTCTCCTTTTCATTGGCTTCCAGCCATTGGCGCAACCACCTTCAGATGTGTTATTTCAGTCCTATTCTCTTCCGGCCTTTTGCGGGGAAGAATAACAAGCTTGGGTTTATCTGGATTATTCAACAGATAAAGTAGACAGAGAACAAGTCCCATAATCTGTGGTACTTTCTCTTCTCTTCCTCCACCCCCTGAAATCTTCACATAATTCAGAGAAGAGTTAGTCATTTCCACAAAATTAGAGCTGATAATAAGTGGGATATAAGGATCATTTCCATAAATGAAGTCAGGACATTTCTGCAGTATACACTCTGCCTTGTTACCCTTAGAGAATGTGGCTCTGCAGTTAAGTAATGGACATATAATTCCTAGGAAAAATTTGGGCTGACTCAACCAAATTACCGGTAACTTTAGAAATTACAATTTTTATGCTGATTTAATTTTCTCTATGTATACATGTTAATGCAATTTATCAATATAGCATAGTTATCATTTAAGCACATTTTGGCAATACCTAATTCTTCCTCCATTGTGGAACCTTTATTGTGTGAGCTGGAAACTCCCAAGACTCTGTTGAACAATATAGAAAAGGCACTGCCCCAGACACCTAAAATTAAGCAAAAACAGAGACTAACTTAGAATGCACTGAAGTTTAAAACTGTCAGACAAACTAGTGGTAGATTTCGATCACTTACCCATTAAGAAATGCAAGGGGTTTTCTTCATATTTCTTTACAACTTTCCCCATAAAAAATTTGCTTCCAAATAAGTCAGGAGTCATGAAAGTACCATATTTTGCCATGCCGATCTCATATGGAGTAAACTCAACCCAATCTGAAAGCATTAAAAAAAATTCAATCCATTCATAGGAAATATTACAGAAATGTGCACAGTTACAGATCACTTCAACAGTGATTATTCTCATTCATTTATTTAAAATATGTTTTTAATTAAGCAAGTGCCTATTATGTATATGGCATTGTCTAGAAGTTGGATGGGGATGGAACTAATCCTATATAAGAAAAGGCTAAATGAAAATCAACCAAATGTGGAATGACTGTTGTTATTACATGCACTGACCACCAGGCGGCAGATGTTCAATGAAGGAGCTGCCCCCTGATGGACAGTGCTCTTCCACAGGGGGAGTGTCACTCAGCCAGAAGGCCTGAGTAGGCTCACCGGTTCAAGGCTGGTGAGCACAGTGGCAGAAGCCTCTCGCCTCTGCAGCAGTCAGACATTCCCTGAGGGCACCAGGACCGTGAGAAAGCCCAGGCTGGGCTGAGGGAGTCTTCCCCCTCTCCCAGTCCCCGCTTTCCCCCCCTACCCCCCCCCCCACACTCCCAGTGCATGAATTTCATACACTGGGCCTCTAGTCCTCTAGTGAATGAAAAACATGAGAACACAAAAGGGTCCCTTCTAATTTGCACAAGTTGAGTAATCGTTTGCATTTAAAAACTCAGACATCTTTTATAAGTCCATATGAATTCTAAAGAGTGGAAAACTGAAAACTGCTAACTTGGATTTGAAATCCATGAAGGAGATAGAAGAAATTAAACTCTTCTGGTAATGCAAGCAGATTATGAAAATGGATGAAAGTGTTTCTAACATTTGCTTTTCTTCATCTTTTAATTTTGCTTATTAACCATCATACTAACTGACCCAATTACAATGCCAAGTTTTCTTTTTTTTTTTTTTAATATATATTTTTATTGATCTCAGAGAGGAATAGAGAAAGAGAGAGAGAAGCATTAATGATAAGAGAGAATCATTGATTCTCTGCATGCTGTCTCCTGCATGCCCCCTACTGGGAATGGAGCCTGAAACCCAGGCATGTGCCCTTGACCGGAATCGAACCTGGGACCTTTCAGTCCACAGGCCAATGTTCTATCCACTGAACCAAACCAGTTAGGGCTCAATGGCAAGTTTTATGCTGAATGTTTCAAGAAACACAAGGTGAGAGTCAACAGGGTATACTTTCTAAGAGCCAAGGCTCTGGAGTCAGCCCTGGATTCAAATCCCATTCTGCTGCTTACTAACTGTGCAACCTTGTGTAGATTATTTGTGTTCTCGGTGTTTCAGTTCCCTAATCTGTAAAATGTGAATAAAAGCGGCAGAAAGTTCGCAGAATTACTGTGAGGATCTAATGAGTTAAGAAATGCGAAGAGCCCAGAAGGCATAGCACATTTTAATCACGAAATAGATGGTAGCCAAATTTTGTATGTCTATGGCTATAATATGAATAATCATTTTCTGAATCTTAATGTATAAAAAAGAGTTCCAGGTTTCTGACTTCCACTTCTTGCACTTGCCACTCTCTCAGTCTTCCCCCTCTTGGGAAATAGTACTACCTTTCATATAGTCACTCTTCATACTTTAGAATTATCTTTAATTATTCTCTTTCCCTTATATCTCACATACAAAATATCAAGTTCTGTAGTCTCTATCATCAGATATGGTTAGGAACTGACCACTTATCCATTTGTCCACCACAACCATTCTGTCCAACCCCCATATTCTCTCCCCTGGGTCTCCACAACAGCCTCCTAAAATGTCTCTTCTCTCTTCCCTTACTACCTTGTTGATACCCAGTAGCCAGAAAGAATGCTTTACAATGTAAGTCATAGCACACCGGTGCCAGCTGAAAGCTTTCCAGTGACCTCCCTTTACACTGAAAATAAACACATGGCTAGCAAGGCTTCATGATGGCCCGGCTCATGCTCCCTGTCTGACTACACGCCCTAACCAATCACCTGTCACGTTTGGTCTTACTTCTACACGTCCATCACACAAGCCTTCTTAATGTTCTCCATAGACTCCAAGCTCATTCCCACCTCGGTGCCTTCATGCTTGCTATTCCCTTCTGCAATTATAAGGCTGCTTCTTAGTAACCTTTAGTTCAAGGTCTTTATTACCATCCTCCTTTAAGTCCCACCACCATCCACCCCTGAATCACCAATAACCCTCTGCCCTCCTTATTTTTCTTCAATTTTTTCCTTTCTGACATTATAATATGTCTATATATGCTTACTCAACAATCCCAAATTCAAACAACTCCAAAATGCACACGTGTTTGTTTTTTTTTTGCTACCCATTTTGGTGATAAAACCTGGCCTGAGTTCATTCTATTTAAAAAAAAAAAAAAAAAAAAAAAAAAAAAGCCTTAAAATGATGTGAGGCAGAATTTTTACTTATCCAACTCAATTTAAATATTGATACATTCTCCTGGAAAAATCACTTTATTTAATTATAAGACCCTAATGAGAATAATATGGAATATACACTTTAAGTATTTTTAAACTTTAAAATCTAAAATATTCTGAATTCCAAAATATCCATCCCCAAAGTATTGGAAACAGAATTGTGAATGATGTATATTTATTCTACTTTTGTGAATGAGATAATGAAATCACAGTTGTGATGACAACACACTTATAGTTCAAGCAAGGCCAAGGGCACGTATACCCTTCACCAGACCGTGGTATATTTCATAGTGATTTACAAGGAGTTAGCGAAACATGACCAGCGATGAATCAGGGGCTGTTAGGAAAATTGCTGTATCACCCTATCTCTGAATTTCACATCCCTATCTTGGGTGCTGACACATAATAATTTCTCTAGCGATCTGTTCCGTGTTAATGTTGTGGCTTGTGCCCATGATAATTATAGACATTCTCAAGAGGGAAGATTTGCTGGTAAACCTTTCTTAAGTTGTCATGGGGGCATTTGACTAATTCCTTTGCTGTTAACCCATACATTTCAAACATGAACCTGTCTGCTGCACCTCCTTCCACTTGTTTCCAGCTTCCTGGGGCGCTGGGGTAAGCCGTCAGCACAGCCCACTATCATTGCCTGGAAAAGAATTCATCACTTCCCCTCCCTGTCTAGCTCACCCGCTCCAGCTCCCGTATCACAGCTTGGGGAGGGGGGGAGGTGGGTGGAATTCTTTTAACTGAAAACACTCACATCTAATCATCAGCACACCTCACCTGTCACCCTCAGGCTTTCATTTTATCTTCTCCCCTCTCTCCTTATCAGTATCGCCCTAGCTTCAGAACCTCATTACAAAAACATAGGGATATCATGGCTTCTAGCTTTTACCTTTGCCAATCAACCCACGTGAATCACCAAAATACGTTTTTCAAAAACCCTGCATAGTTATATTGCTCTTCATCATAACTGAATAAAAACATGTCTGCCTGGAATCCAGATTTTTCTACTGTTTCGCACTAATGGTTTCCCCAGATGTACCACCTACGCTTCACCAGCTCATACCACGGCTAGTGTTTTGTTTTGTTTTTTTCTTCTCTCTCTCCAAAGCATACTTTCGGCTTCCCTTCTGAGCATTTGCTCCTGCTGTTTTACTCAAAGATGACTTTTCACCTCCTTATGATAAATCCTTCCATGAGGTCATTTCTATGACTATACTCAATATCTTCGATAACTTACACTTACGTCAGCTCTACAACTTTAACGGATAATAATATTCTATGTGTATAGCTCATTAATTTTCTTATGGGGTTGTAACTTTCTGAGGAAGAGTACCACAGTTCTACTCTTTAGTGTCTGTGAAAGAACTTAATCTGATGTCGATCCATAAGTTGTGCTTAGTAAATGCAATTTACTGACCAATGGATATTTGAAAATGAAAGTTGTAAATCCCATAGGCAGTGTAGTGAAGTGGAGGAGTCAAAAATGTTTAATAGTTTAAACAACTAATGTTTATTTGTTTAAGATCTTCAAAAAAGGAGAAAATGTTTAAAACTATTCTAAGAGGGAAGAAAAACATCATCTGATATTGTTGAAGTGAAGTTGGTAACACTTCTGTAAGCTAATGAGCTTCTTTGATTTTTAAAAATATGTTGCAAATATTTCCCCTTTTCCCCTTTGAATATCCATTTTTTCATCTAAGAGAATTTCAAAGGCATACATGACTCCACCTTCCCCCCCTCCCCCCAATAACTCAACTGCTTAAACCTTTATGAGCGCATCTTTGAATGTCTTATCTGGGTTCAAGATCCAAGTAACTAAGGTTTGATGGCTGTTGTCCAACTCTGTTGGAAGAAACAGCTTGAACCCCCTTATCACAAAAGCTTAACAATGAAGGTTAATGGTGTATCTCTTATCTCAGTAACAACATGGAAGCTAGGCAGGTGGCCCAAATCACACATATCTAGGTTGTAAGACTACTAATGAAACATAAAACAAGCCTTTTCTTACTCTGGGTAAAAAATCCCAAATATTCACTTGCTGAAATATAATTAAATATTTAATTATTTTAGTCAGACTTTCTATTGAGAATGGCTGTTGATGAAAAGTTCAGAATAAAAAAAACATATCATATCATTATATTAACCTATTATATTTTAACCTATTATATTTTTACTAGAGGCCCAGTGTACAAACTTTGTGTATGGATAGGATCCCTAGTGGCTGCCATAAACTACTGGAAATTCTTGCCTGAGAATAATCAGTTGAGGACAAAAAAAGTGAGAATTTATAAAACTGCAAAAGGATTGTGGATATAAATTTGTTAACTACAGGCCATTCACAGTGATTTTTTGAAAGCTCATTATGAGTGACTGATGTCACTAAGATACTTTTCCTAAAAATACAAGAAACCTCAGCAGCCACAGCCAGAAATGCTATCACACTGCAGAGCAGAATGGGCAGAGGCCCCCAGAACTATGTCACAGAATTTTAGAGCACAGGACAAGAGATGAAGCTACCGAAGAAACAAGTGTTTACATCTGAGACTTAAGGAAGTGAGGCATTTTGTTCACCAGCTGCCAAAAGTTTAGATTCGTACATTTCAGGTGCTGAGTTATAAAAATTAATAGACATGTATCATATTACCTAATTTAATAACAATTTCAGCAGCAAGCAAGAGAATATGCATTGCCTGAAAGCACTAGGCATACTATCTTGTTGAACAGCTTTTAGAAATGAGTAATAAAATTGAATGATTGATTATATTTATGATTTACTTTTTATCATTTATTTTTTAGTTCACTAATATCAATGAAGATATATTAGTAACTAGTTTTCTGGAATATTCTGTACAACCAGAAAATCACCTAGCTTTATATTTTCAAATGTTTTTATGTTACAGAAGATATATTAAAATAAGCAATTGAAATGGCTTCCTCTAAAGAAAGTCATTGGAAGCCATAGTTCAAAGGTTCCATGAAAGAGTAAGCGACATACCTGCAAACATCAGTTCTGAAACATCGGGCTTGACATGCAGACAGGTGAAAAGAGGTAAAGGACACTGGGCCGTATTGACTTTTTCCTTCAAACTACTCAAGGTCATGTTCATTCTCTGTCCACAGAAGAAAAAAAGAAATGGTTTAAATATACAAACAGAAACAGGTAGGAAACAATTTAAAATAGTACTTCCAGGCTGGTGTAGTGCAGTGGGTGAATGTTGACCTATGAACCAGGGGGTCATGGTTTGATCCCCAGTCATGGCATGTGCCTGGGGTTGTGGGTTCCATCCTGAATACGGAGTGTGCAGGAGGCAGCCGATCAATGATTCTTTCTCATCATTGATGTTTCTCTCTCTTTCCCTCTCGAAACGTATTTTAAAAAATAGTATTCCCAATCAAGACACTTAAATTTTTTTATAATAGAAATAATTCTTATTACTCATAGAAATCTCTGGGCCATGAATAAACAAACAAACAAAAGGTAATCTCTATGAAAGTAATTCCCTTCATTCTAAAAACAACCAAATCTCAAGGGACTATGCCTACTTTTGAAGTGGAGAAAGATATAGCAGCTGTGGAGCCCAGAAAAAAATTAGCCCCAGATTCCCTGGCACAGATTCTGTCTCCTTTGCTTTATCTTCTAATGAAATATCACACTGTGGTCATCTGTGAAATCAGTTTGTTCTGCATGATTCATTCTGTTTTCTGACTCTGTCCAGACAACCTCCATTTTTCCTCTGCCATTAAAATATTTCTTGCATTCTTCTCCTTAGCTAAAAAGCTTGCCATTTAGAGACATGGCCGGTTGAGAGTTAAAAGGTATACTTTTCTTTCCAAAGAAAAAAAATACAAAATACTCCCCTACATCAAAACTGATACACAAAGTGAATTAGTAAGCTCTAGTTGGAAATGTAGAGGAGTTCTTTCTGGCAGGAACTATGTGCTCTCAGTACACAGTGTTGATAAGGTAAGTTGAATCTAGTGACTTTTACAAATTATGTCATATTTAGTTTTATTTAAAACATTATGATAAACATAGTCTGTTGCACTCAAAGGATTGTAGATTCAGCTAGAGCTTACATTGTGAATTAGTGTTTCTCCTATTAACATCCCAAAGATATCGGCAAAGGTGACGGGCTGTCCAGACCTTTTCTTCTTCCATAAAGACTCAACATATCTTTTAACTTTCTGTGGCGTGAGAAGTAAAAGGGGGTTGTGGCTAACGTTTTTCATTAGCTCTTCATTAATCTCTTCTGGCCCTTTCTCTGGGAAATCTGGGTGAGAATATAAGGTTGACATATACCTGTAAAGAAAACAAAAGATAATTCATAAAGCGGAAGGGCATTACATAATCTCCAACGAAAGCAGGCATTCTCTGGCATAAGAAAAACAAAGGACGGTAGAGTGAGTTAACTTAATTAGCTGATTGATTACATTGACCCATTTAAGGGAAGAATGAATAAATCAGAGAAAAGCTAGTCTTCAATGGAAGCCAAGTAGAGGTCCCAGGAAACACTGGATTCCCCATGCACAGTCCAGAGGGGAGGATTCCCTACTGGCCTACTGGCCACTGTCTGGTCTTTAGGAATGGGCATCCCCAGCAGACTACCAGAGACTGACGACACAACACACTGGAGTCATAAAAATTAATTGACTTTGTCTGGATATAATAAATACTAGTCAAGCAATTTGGTGATTTGCCTTTCAATGATGCTGTACGATTACTGTGAATGTCTAAGGCTGACAAATGTGGTTTTTAATCATCCACTGGCCAACTAGGCAGAATCCCAAGACTCGCCAGTGGTAGGTCTCAGAATTTCTGAGGATACAAATCTGATGATTTGCTTTCTTGTGAAGATTCTTGGCCACCAGTCAGAGGAACTCCTGAAATATTCATCAGTTTAATGGGTTGGGCCTCACTCTCTAAAGATACAGAGCTGATCTCATTTCTCTCCATATCCAACAGCCTCTTATGATGCTACATATGTATAGCTGTACTGAGGTGAAGAAGAGAACACAGGATTACTGTCCTGATTCTCTTAATTCACTCATGTTGGTTCTCCTGGTTGGCTAATAAATATTTAATGAATAACAAGTATCACCCAAAAACAATTTTAGAAATAATTATCCTAAAGGCAGTAGCAGTGATAAGGGAAGCTTTTGTTCTACATAAAATTCTCTTTTGTGATCGCAGAAAACTTATTGGGAGGTCCAGGTCTTCTCCAGACACTTCCGTATTACTTCATTCTCCTGCCAAGTCATGGTCATGGATCAGCCCAATATAAACTTACACAACACAGAACGTAATTTGTTTTTTTAATTCTTTCCGAATTCCTTCCTTTGAACTTTTTACCTCTTCACCCGTAATTTTCAAGAGAGAATGTTACCATGAGTCATCTGGACCACCTCTTCCACCTCTTCTTCCGTCCAAGGAAGTGTCTTTTCTCTCCAGGATTAACAGCTTTTGTGCTTTCTATCTCATCCTGTCCTGTCTTCACCTGAATCTTTTTCTATTCATGATCCATCTATCTATCTTTTTAAATATATTTTTATTGACTTCAGAGAGGAAGGAAGAGGGAGAGAGATAGAAACATCAATGATAAGAGAGGGTCATTGATTAGCTGCCTCCTGCATGTCCCCTACTGAGGATCGAGCCCACAACCTGAGAATGTGCCCTTGACCATCATCAAACCCAGGACCCTTCGGTTTACAGGCTAAAGAGTAATAATAACTTCAAAAGGCAAGTATAGTTGGAAATTAGGTGGTCTCTGCATGAAAATCGATTAGTAAGGATTTAAGGAGTGAATAGCTTTTCAGGAAATAGAATAAATAAGAGAAGGCTAACAATGAGGAAATTAGACATTGATAGAGTAGAAGTTTATATATTCATATACAACTACTAGAGGCCCGACCTCGCAGCCACCCCAGCTTCACCGGGAAGGTCGTCAGGAAGGTCGTTCAGCTGTCTGGTCTAATTAGCATATTATGCTTTTATTATTATAGATGTGGCCTGTAATGTTTAAATGATCAACCTGTAGTTTTTGAAGTTCTCTTCATGACATTTTGTAGGACTTGTTTTCAGAACTCTGACAGGAGAATATAAGATGTTACCCCAAATCTACAACCAAAGCAATTGCTGAAGCTCCAATTAAGCCCACACTTTTATAGTCCCAAATCAGCACTCAAGGCCTAGTCTTTCCTTATGAAAGGAGTTTAAGAAAGTAAGCTTCCTGCAATGTTTTAGTCAGTGATGGATCTCAGGGATCTAACAGATAGTGAACACGGAGAATGAATCCCCCAAGAGGAGTAACAAAATGCCGGAGTAGGTGAATCCATCTAAGGGTCCAAGTTTTTCCATCACACACTCATTAAACAGGCAGGTGCCTGCTCTTTCCTTCAAGGGAAAGAATGAATGATGGCCTCCATCCTTCTTTCAAAAAAGAGAAATTATTTTAAGGGAACATACCAAGAAAGGGGCAACCACTTTGGGTCTAGGTTTTTGCTTTTAAGCTAAAGAATCTGGTTCAAAATGTTTAAGAAACTATAGATTCTTCAAATGTGAACCTCTATGTAGACTAAACAGCTGTCAGGAGAAGGCTATGGTTTAGTTGAAAGATTCCTGGAATAGGGAATCAAAGCCTGGGTTTATATCCTGGCTCTGTGAGTAATCCTGGACAAATCCTTTGGTTTCTGAGTCAAATTTTCTTCTTCTTTTTTTTCTTCTTCTTTTTTTTAATATATTTTATTGATTTTTTACAGAGAGAAAGGGAGAGGAACAGAGAGTCAGAAACATCGATGAGAGAGAAATATTGATCTGCCTCCTGCACACCTCCTCCTGCTCGCAACCAAGGTACATGCCGTTGACCAGAATTGAACCTGGGAACCTTCAGTCCACAGGCCAACGCTCTATCCACTGAGCCAAACCAGTCAGGGCTGAGTCAAATTATCTTGAAAAAAATGATAGAAAGCTAATATCCATGTCACAGGCTGAGAAGGCACTGACATTTTAAAATGCTAGACATATATACCACAGTATTATGACAGATAGGCTTTCCTATGGGTGAGTGACTAAACAGCCTTATAAGTCAAAGTCAGACATTTGTAATAAAGTGACACCTTTATTTGAGACATCTAAGCAAGGACTAATGTTTGATGTTCAATGTGCTTATGTGAGGCAGGCAAACCAAAATGTGTATACTCTCTTCTTTGAAAATGTTCCTATATTTAGAAAAGGTAAATCTACAGTGTACAAATGTTGTATATATACATAAATGTGTCTTCACTCTCTATCCAAGTTTAACTGAGCTTAAATATATTTAAAAGATTGATTTCATAATTAGTTAAATACAAATCAGTGAAATTTTTTAAAATTCTGCAGTCTAAAGTTGTTTTCCTTCTTCTGTCTATAAAGGTTTCATTCTATTTGCCCTAAAGAAGAATATGAATACCTAGTAAATCATGTAGACTTAGACATAATCACTGAAAGATTGCAATTCAGCAAGTTATAGAAAAATTGAATGAATTATGCGTGGAGTATGTTATGCCACTTCTGTGCTATTTATATTAATTACTACAATTAATACATTTTAAAATTTTGTTTCACTACATTTTATGCTACACACAGGCTTAAAGGGAATGGATTTATGACATGAGTCCATCATGAGGCATGAACTTAAAAACATATTTAAGGCATAAATTATTGCATCAAGCTAGAACATTTTAATAATTCAAAATTAATGTCTACTTATCTAAAACTCCCTTTTCTCTCTAATGTTTCAGGCAGATAAATGCTAAACATTTAAGATGATAAAACGAAGATTTAAAATGTATACTAACCACGTGGAGCCAGAAAGACCAGCAATGTAGGTAGCGCAATCTAAAATTCCGGATTCATACAGTGCCTTCATCACCCCGGAGAATCCCACCATGGCTCGAAAACCGCCCCCTGAGCCCAGGATGGCCACCACAGGCACCTGGAATGACAAAACACAGATCGTTTGCAAAGTACTTTACAAAATTTATTTTGGTTTAATTTCCATTTTTATGTTATATGTTCTATGTTTGGCAATAAAGAATTAAGATCACTTACACCATGACAATGCCTAGTGTTTAAAAATAAAATAAAATTTCATAATATAAGAGAATCAAGAATTAATGTATATTAGAAAACGACCAACCAGTTCATTTGATAACGATGACAATCTTCGGCCCTTTGCAGTTTTTGGTTTGCTTTTGAGTGCAGGTTTTTCATTTGACCCCCCCTCATAAATCCCATATGGTGAGCAAAAAAGGATTTGCTCATTTTACAGATAGAAATTCTGAAAGGATACTACTTGTCTATTATCTACTAATTGGTAATCTGTAATGAAGTACCTGGCCTTCCTGACTCGGAATTCTTATTGCTTCTTTATGCTGACTCATTTCAAAATATATGCTATGATTCAAGCGCAAAAAACAGAATTTAATCAACTTAACAAGACCTACAAAATGTATTGCTTTATTCTTGAATTCATTCAATAAATCTGAGTAAGTGGTCTCTATGTTTTATAGGAGGGATAGGAGAATGTAGTTTATTTGAGATAGAAATATGAAATTATGACAATAAGAATAGGGATAGATGATACTCATAAGCTCTTACTCTCACACAGGAACTGTTCTTCGTGCTTTACAGAAATTGACTCATTTATCTTTTTTAAAAAAAACCATGATATTTCCATATTATAGATGAGGAATCTAAGGCTCTTGGAACTAAGACCCTGAATACTTGTTCAGGGTCAGCAACCAATGAAGTAGCAGAGTCAGGAGTCAAACCCCAGGCTCCTGCATCCAGGTGTTTGCCAGTGTGCATACACACAGGCTAGGAATGCATGAGGTCCAGAAGATATGGTCAGTTGCAATCAGAGAAATTAGAGTGTAGGAGAAACTTCACAGACAAAGGGGAAACCTGAGCTTAACTTTTTTAAATATATATTTTATTGATTTTTTTACAGAGAGGAAGAAAGAGAGACAGAGAATTAGAAACGTGAGAGAGAAACATCAATCAACCACCTCCCGCACACCTCCTACTGGGAATGTGCCCAAAAGCAAGGTACATGCACTTGACAGAAATCGAACCTGGGACCCTTCAGTCCATAGGCCGACGCTCTAACCACTGAGAAAACCAGTTAGAACCTGAGCTTAACTTTTAATGCAGTTACTCAACAGGGAGGGATGTGGATGGGGAAGGAGGCTGTTTTGGAAAGAAAAGCAACATGAACCAATGGAGGAGGGTTTTCGCCATAAAAATGGAGAAGCACAGGCTGCCAGTAACATGACTAAAGCACAGGAATGTGTGAAGAGGAAGAGAATGTCATGTCTTTTTGTGGTCCCAAACCACTATTGCTTAAGATAGCAGGTTATTTTTCTCTGCCCTAAGGCTCCAGTGCTCAAAGTGTGCACAGCTTTCAGGGGAACCCGCAAAGTCAAACTGTCTTTATATAAACACTAAGATGTTATTTGCCTTTTTTCATCCTCATTCTCTCATGAGTGTGTGATGGAGTTTTCAGAGACCACACGATGTGCTGTGATGTGAATTCAAGAGCCTGGCAGTCTTCTGTTAAGTCAAACATTGCAGATGCTTGTAAAAATTGCTCTTCTTGCCTTATTTTTGCTTTGGAAAATATTGTTATTTTTCACAAAGTATGTTATTTATAGTAGCATGAAATTGACTTATTTAAAATGCATATTTTAATAAATGTTCTCAGTTGTAGTTTTTAATGCAGTACATATTCATAGATTTAACCCATATAAACCCAATCTCTTAGAAGTGTTTGATTTTTTAAGTGTGTCAAGAATATCTGAGACCAAAAAGTTTAACAACCACTGGCCTAGGGAATCAGGGACATGGTGAGTGCAGTCCAACATCTGGGGAAATTGGAGCCTGTTGAGGACCCAAGGCAGAGGGGAGACAGGAAGGGAATTGGAAAGAGGGAGCAGACTGGATGGAAATACCTACTGGACAGGCAGAGGCTGATGCAAAGGTAGACTCACATTGCTGGGGAGAAAAGTGCATTTTCTTTGACATTGTTTTCCAATAATAATAATTATCAAGGAAAAATTATAAGTGAAAGACAGCCATTAATGGAGCAAAAGATATCAGATCATGAAGCAACCCAAAGCTTTCAAAGAGATGAACACACAAGTTCCATGGTTGGAAGGGCAGAACTTGAACCGAGAGAGGATGCAATGGCTTGAGTATCTAATTTGAGCGATATCAAAATAGTCATATTGCTATTAGATTTTATTGTCTATATTAGTAACAAAAATCTAATTTTCAAAAGAAACATACAAATCACTGAGTGCCTGTGCATAGATAAGCTCAAGTACTTTTAACAGTTCTATTTTATCTCTAATAATCCCACTTTTAAAAATCTTCTGGATGTGAATGGAATATAATGATCCCTTCTCCCCTCTACTCAGAAAGCGAAGCTTATAAACAGGTACATTCACAAAAAGAGCCTTTAATATTTGGCAACCAGATTCAGTGTTAGGGACAAAAGAGGAAGGAGTGTAGTTAGGCTGTTGGGGTTTCTAGCTTTGCTCATAGCAGATGTTGCTGTCATTGCCCGGGAGAAGGTACCAGGACGCAAAAACCAGGATAAAAGGGAAATACTGCTGCTCTTAACCTCAGAAACGCAGAACACTCAACACCAGTACGATGTGTTCCAAGCACTTAGACCCTGACCATTGGGTGTGTATTCGCCAATATGACAAATACAAGTATTTATAGAATCATTATTTTAGAAATAGAAGGGCTAAAAAGATGATAAAACTCTTATTATGCAGAAGGAACTTGTAGAGGTGAGGTCCAATGAATGGGCAGGATACTGAGTACTAACATCCTAATCTAGGCTCCTACTGAAAACAGTGGCCTCAAATGGGAAGACCCTCACCATCAAATTAGATGTGAATTATAGACCAAGTAATATTCTAAGTTCCGTAACTCATACAGAATATAAAACTATGAAATTATAAATTTTATTATCTATATAAAATGAGGGAAATTAGCCTTACCAGGTATCTAGAAAATACTGTGTGTGGGACCCTAGCATGCTCTTTTACTCAATTTATTTCATTTAACCCTCACAGCCCTCAAAAGGAGATCTTATTATTTCCTCATTTTTTAGATGAGGAGGTCTTCAGTGCAGACAGCTAATAAGTGGCAGCTCCAGGATGTGAAGTGACACCATAATTCATATGTTTTCCTTTTCTCACTGCTCAGAAAAAAAAAAAAAAAAAAAAAAGAGTATTCTTTATTTAGTAAAGAATAAAGAGCAGTCTTTGTTTTGCTAAATTATGTTTCAAGTTCATCTATCACTTCTGGTGACCAGTACAACTTTATGCAATAAAACACAGCTATATTTAAATGTTCCAATAATCATGGTCATTCTGATATAACTTTCAAAAAAATAACTGGGAAGTTATAAGCTGCAGCTGTTAGTCCTGGCTCTGTATCTAAAAGAACCAACCAAGTAAAATGTTGTTGAGAGTTTTTAGGTTATATTTAGACCTAATAGCACCAGTATTTGTGCATAAATATTGCTCATACTTCTCTCACGTGATGTTACAAGAAATAAATGTTCATTTACTAAAAACCTTCTGGATTTGATTAAATTATTTTTATGCATGAGCTGACAGATATTATTAATTTTTGTCATTGCAAAAGAAAATTCTAAAGAGCTCAAAGAATTTTTTTTTTTAATTTCATCCATTTTTAAAGTCTGACAATTATAGAAAGACTTTTGCCTCCTTGGCTCCTGTATTAGGATTCTCCAGAGAAAAAGAACTTGAAGAGAAAAAGAGAGGAAAGAGAGATAGAGAAGAGAGAGAGAGAGAGAGAGAGAGAGAGAGAGAGAGAAAAGGAACTGGTTCATGTGATTATGCAGATTGACAAATTCAAAGCTGCAGTATGGGCTAGTGGGCCCAGACCAGGATTATCAACAATGGAGAGATCAACCAAATCCATATAAGCCTAACCAGTGGTCATGGACAAGGGTGTGGGGGCATGCGTGGGAAGGGGTTTGGGATGGGAATAGGGGGATTAGGACAATTATGTGATACTATAACCAATAAAGAAATTAAAAATAATAATAAAATAAACATGAATTAAAAAAAACAAAAAACAAACAAACAATGGAGTTCTAGTTCAAACGCCAGCAGGCAGAGACACTGGTGTCAATAAAATCCAAAGGCAGTCTCTAGGAATTCCCTCTTATTTGGGAGTTGGTCATTTTGTTCTATTTAGGCCTTCAACTAGTTGGATTCACATCCACATTCTATACAGCAATCTGCTTACAGAAACATGACTTATGGCTGAGTAATATCCCATCTTCTTGATCCATTTATCTATCAGTGGACACCTAGGCTGCTCCCATATCTTGGCCATTGTAAATAATTCTTCAGCGAGTGTGCATTTTTTCTAATTACTGTTTTCATTTTCTTCAGAAAAATGCTCATAGTCAAATTGCTTGGTTGTATGTTAGTTCAGTTTTGAATTTGGTGTGGGCGGGAGGGGACCACCATACCATTTTCCATAGTGGCTAAACCAATTTATACTTCCACAACAGCATGCTCCTCTAGACCATCAGCAGTACTGAACAGAAAGTAAGGATCTTGGCAGGGAGCGAGGGAAGTGGGAGCTGAAGGCACCCTTGGCCAGGGAGTAACATAAAAATGGGGAAATGTTACTTGTGTTATGGGAATGGGTGTTGCTGAGTGTATCTAAAATGACTTTTTCTGCCAAGAGAAAAAAGTCTGGAGTAAAACCAAACAACAAATGTCTTAATTTTAGGAATTGCTTCCAAAAACATGAATGATATATTTTTAAAGAATATCCCAGAATAAAGTATAATTACCTCATTTTTCTCACTGTTGAAAAAAACAAAACAAACAAACAAAAAAAACAATTGTATGGATATTAGGCCAAATTTTATTTTCCTATGAAGACTCCTTTCCACAAAACAAGGAGTGCCAAGGGGTGCAAGAGCAACTTTTGATAAGGACAACCTAAGAACAGGCCAACTCACATACATTTCTATCTAAACAGGCCAAACTGGACTCTTTTCACCCAAACCTTCTCCTCCACCTGTATCTCCTCCTAAATCCTGATTCTAGGGTTCCTCAGTTTTGAGCCCCTGATACCTGTCTTTCTAATTCATCCCATGCATGCAATGCCGTGCTGCTGCCTAAATGTGAACCCTGATAGGTGCTGGGAATATAAAGGCAAATGACAGACCCTGTCCCGGTCCTCATGCGATTTACATTCTAATGGAGAGAACAATCAGGAAATTAATCATGTGTACAAGTGATTTTTAAATAAATGAGGCTTGATCCCCAGAATATCTCTCTCTCTCTCTCTCTCTCTCTCTCTCTCTCTCTCTCTCTCTCTCTCTCTCTCTCTCTCTCTCTCTCTCTCTCTCTCTCCTGCCTCTCTTTAAAAAGCTACAGGAACTGTTGAGAAGATAAGATCATAGGCCATTTGCTTAAACCCGGCAGAGACCACTGGCATGATTGGAAGATGAAAGCCCATATAAGGACACAAACTGGTCTCTGGAGCTCCTCTGAGAAATCACCCCTTCCTCAGGAAGAACCTGAATATTCCTCCTCTCACTGAACACCCTAACGCCCCCTCCCACTAAACAACCTCAGTTAAGGAAGCAAATTCCATTAAAGCCGCTGCTCTGTCTGGGGAGGAGCCACCCTGTCTCACTGCTTCACTAATAAACTCGCTCTCACTTCAAGGGACCCCAAAAGGAGAATTGCTGCCTAAGGGTTTGCTATAGGGAAAAAAAAAAAATACTTCCCAGAAAGGCAGGAACTTCTGAGTAATATGCAGAGAAGGAAGTGTTCTCAAGGACTAAGTAACCTGAGACCATAATCAACCACAAGTGCCGCCAGGGATCTGTGTGGTGACAGCAAGACTGGATGGAAGAGAAGTCCAGTCCTTTTTTTTAAAAAATAGAAACTTCAGTGGAGGTTTCACTTCTCCTCCCAGCTTCCTTTTAGCAAAAATTCTCCACAAGCAACATTTTATCTCTGAGTCTGCTCCCATCACAGCCCTTCCAGCCCCAGTAGATTCCGTTCCCACCCCACCCCCACCCCCACCTACAAACATTCCAAGACCAGGTGTGGGACCCAGTGCCCATCTGGCTCCCTTACTCAGAATCCATGTCTCATTTCCAATGGTATTCACAAGACAATTTACAATTTAATTTACAATAATCTTGAATCCATCTGTGTGTGCATATATGGGAACATGTGTGTATATATATTTGCTTATGATTTTTATACAAATATTATATTTCTAAAAATCTATGTATATAAAAGCTAGCGACCAAAACACTATAATGACCAGAATGACTGGTCGCTATGATGCCCACTGCAGCCAGTGAACCAGCCTGATCAGGGGATAGGGCCTGCCAGCCAACCTTCTGTGGCTCTTCCCCCTAGCCAGTCCTGCCCCCAATGGGTCTCCACCACCCCAATTGGCCTGCAGCCCCTTCCCTGGCCGGCTCCGCTCCTGATTGCCCCCCTACAACAATAGGGGATGGGGCTGGCCTGCCAATCTCCTGCAGCCCCTCCTCCCACCTGGCCCCACCCCAGATGAGCCCCCCCCACCCCAATCAGGGGCAGGTTTGTCCAGCCAACTGCCCCTGGCCCCTCTCTCTAGCCAGCTCTGCCCCTGATCAGCCCCCAAACCCATTTGGGGGTGGGACTGGCTAGCCCCCCACCCACAGCCCCTCTCCACTGCTGGCTCTGCCAGCAATCAGCACCCCCAAACCCAATCGGGGGCAGGGCCTGCTGGCCAATGGCCTGTGGCCCCTCCCCCAAGCTGGCCCAGCCCTGATCCAGGTCCCAATTGGGGCAGGCCTGCAGCCAACCTCATGCTAACTCCTCTCCCTGACAGGCCCGGCCCCAATCCATCTCCACTTGGGCAAGGCAGGCCAGAGCCCACCCATGCATGAATTTGTGCACTAGGTCTCTAGTAAATTAATAATCTTGAATCTCTATGTGTACATGTATGGGAATATATGTATATATATTTATTTATGCTTTTTATGCAAATATTATATTTCTAAAGATAAATTATATTCATTTAAAATATTTAATTAACAGAAAGTTCAAAGAAATAAATAAAAAATTAGCTTATATACCACTAAGAAGGAATTTCATCATACCATTTGATGAAATTACAGGAATTTGTTTTTTATTTTTTATGGAGGTATAATTAATATATAACATTAGATTAGTTTCGGTTGTACAACATGATTCACTATTTGTATATATTGTGAACTGATCACCACAATAAGTCTAGTTAACATCCATCTCAAGGTAGTTAAAAACATTTTTCTTGTGATAAGGATTTTTAAGATCTACTCTCTGAGCAACTTTCAAATATGCAACAGAATACTATTAAATATAGTAGCATTTTTTAACAGATTTCAGATAGAAAGATAAAACAATGAGTGAATGGTTGAATGGATGTTTGGATAAATGAATGATAGATGGATGGATGGATGGATGGATATAAAGATGAAGGGGTAGTAAATGAATAAATAGCCAAAAACTGGATTATTACTTTACTGGAATTTAAGGAAAGAAAAATAAGATAAAGTACAATTAAAAGATTGTATTTTCAGTATTTGTTCACAAAATATTGTAATTTTAAGATCTCTATAATTAGTATTATGAAAAACATTAAAATGTATAGACCATTATTTTGGATGTTATCTTTTAACTTTCTGCTATGAAACACTAAGAATTTAGAACATTTCCTTTCATGTTCTCTATTCACATCTATTTTTTAAATTGTATTATCATTAAGATTTGTAACATCTTCTTGTTCAGTAATGAAATTCCACAGTTGATTAATGGTAATCTACATTAAAATTAATTCCATGATCTTTTTATACTTGAGACTAAACTTTCCCTACTAATGAAATCATCATCTTTTTCGCTTATAAGTATGCATATGCCTCTTTTAAAAGCAATCTCTGATAAATATTTCCAAATATGGGCAGCATTTGTGATGACCTTCCTTAATGAGTTTCCATTTATGAAACACTTACCTTACCTTATCTCAAAAAGCTGCACACATTTTCCAAAATTTTTTCATATTTGGGAAAAATTGGGAAATACAAAGAAAATTATTATTAAATTGCAGTAATATTTGAAAATTTCACAACTCACATCACGTGTAGAACACAAGCTTTCACTATTCTCCAGGCCCAGGAGTTTCTTCATGTTTTCCTTTACGTTTTCTTTTCTCTGGTATCTGAAAGCTTTCTCCTGATCACACAAAGCCATGCTAAATCGGAGGTCCGGGGATGAACTGTATGTAAAACAGAGAGTCATGAGCGTAGGTCCCCAGCCTTCTTACACATCATCCGGTCCCCCAGAGGTTCCCAGTAGCTACACTCAGAGAGGCTCACTGCTTCCCTCAAGCCATTTTCTATGAGGGGGCCTGAAACAGAGTATAAAATGATGACTATCTCCAAGCATGTTTTAAGGCAGGTTTTCAGAAAACAATAAGTATAAAATGTTTTATGAAAAGATAAACAAGCAACCAAACAGCTCCTGACCAACTGCATATTAGCGAGAATAATAACACTTTAGGGAAGTGCTTCAGAAAAGAAACCTGTGTAAGTAATGCTGCTATGAACATGAGAGTGGGTATATTCTTGCTGAGTGGAGTGGGGCAAAAGAGGTAGGGGAGGGGGACATCTGCAATACTGTCAAAAGAAGAAAAAAGAGGAAATAATAAAAAAGAACCTTCTAGATCAATCTGCCACAGTAAGAAACCTTAAATTAAATTATATACCTTTCTTAAAAAATATTGTGTCTTTACCATTAATAAAGGTAAGCTCTTCCCTTAAGAGAGTTAAATTTAAGGCTCATTTCTGTTAATTCAGTATATTTCTTCCTTGTAAACATAGAATAAGAGAAAAAATTGTAAGGACTCTGGGCTGCATATTTTATAGTGACATTTGATCATTGCAAATATTTTAATTACAACTTCCCACAGAACAAATATAGTTTATCATAAAAGAGTAAGTATGAGTAGTAATGATGAATAGAAGAATAAATATTCAATTACATTAGCAAAATTATAAAGTACAGTTATTATTAAATTAATAATTCAAAAATATTTAAAATATCTACTATTGGAAAAGATAAAGTAATATTGTTGTTCTCATGCATACATTTTGAAAATATAAATTTTCAAAAACACTTTTGAAAAGCAATGAGGCAATGAGCACCAAAAATAATTAAAATGTGTATTTCCTTTGACCTAGTAATTCTGTTTTTTGATATCTACCTTAAGGGAAGAAACTGAAAAGATCATTTAACTGTATTATCATATAATAAGGTTATTAAGTTATACTATATCAAAACATTGAATTATACAAATTTTACTATGATGAAGATTATGTAGCAAGGTGGGGAAAATAAGATAGTAAATTTGCATTTAAAAAATCAAGTCTTGGAGTAAACTCTTTTCTATTATTATTATTATTTATTATAATATGTGAAGTTGGGTATATTCTAATTACTTAAAGAAATAAAAATCTTACCTGCACAGTTGTCTCTGAATTCCCCTCAATTTCTTTTTCCCTTTTCACTCATCAGAAGTAACCACTATTTTAAATTTGCTCTTTATTTCAGTATATTTCTTTATATATATTTATGTCCCTAAGAGTCATTTTTCAGGTTTAATTTTTTTATATAAATGCTGCCAACTGTATGTCTACTGCAAATTATTTTTTTCATTGAACATTTTGTTTTTGAGATTTATCTCTGTTTATGTAGCTAGAACTAATTCAAATGATTTTACTATTGTGGAATATTTTCAATATATGAATATATCATGATTTGCTTATCCATGAACATTAATGTTGCTTCCAATTTATTTTTAACTATTACAAACAGTACCACTATGAACATGTAGTGTATATGTGGAAAAGTTTCCCATAATATATGATCTTTAGGAAAAAAAATACACCATCTTATGAAACCATAATAGATATAAAGTACTCCTTTCTTATTTTACAAATGAGTAAAAAAAGTGATTAGAAAATTTTCAACCATTAACATAATTAGCAGGTAATAGATTTAAATTTAGGACTTCTCATTCTTGGACTTATGCTTTTTGTAATGTACAATGATAATCATCATCTTACAACCTTTTCTAACAACAGGAAGCATAATTTTTTTAAAAAAATCTATGAACAGAGCAATGAACATAGATGTTTAGGAGGTATTAGAATAAAATATCGGGAAGAAAAAAATTTAAATTCTGAATAATTTTATAAATATGTTACTTTAGTTCCTTTATTTCTTTCTCTTAGGTATTATATTTAATTAGTTTGCTTTCTTTTAAAATTTTATTTTATATTTAATGGAAAATATCCTGTAGGAAATTGAATTTTTCTTTAAAGAAAACATTTCCATTTAAAAGCAAGATATAAGTTAACATATAAAAATAGGGTTTGATTAAAGTTTACTATGAATATATAATAAATTGATTCTGGACACATATGTACATTACTTTTGATTTTTTTTCTGCTCTTTATAACTGGATTTTATAATGGTCCTAAATAAAACAGTGAGGACCATTTCCCAGGAAAAGAAACAGCATTACTTACATAGTCAAATAAAAATATTTCTAATCTCATGCCAAAATAAATCACTTTTAAGCAAGAGTCAATGTAATGCAAAATGATGTAACACAGTAACTTGAAGTGTCCTGTGACACTTTCTCGCATAATCTGAGGGACTGTGGTAATTTATGCCAATGATTTACAAAGTCAATTTATTCCAGAGATCAAAATAAGAGAAAGAAATGTCTAAACTGAATGCCAGGGCATCATTATCATACATTTGGCGAATCACTCATTTATGTGATGTTTGTATAAATAAAATTTGTACTAGTAACTTTGGTAAAACCCACTTCAACAGGAAAGTACAAAGAGGGGCAGAGGGAGGTAAGGTCTGAATCCTGCATTGGGTCAGAAATCAGCTCATTCCCAAGACAGGCCTGACTCCCCTAAGAGTCACCCTTTGAAAATAAATACATGACTTTCCAACTTCCATTTTTTAGAACCCACTTTGGAAGAGCAACATCCTTTCATGGAACTTGACCATTTTTAGTCCTGCCGATTACTATGACAAATTGGTCTCAATTTTCAGTTTTTTCTCTTTCTAGTTTCCCTGTGCACTTAGAAAACTGGCTTACATAACTGTATTCACTTCTATTGGAATAGAAAAATAACTTTCTAAAAAGCCCTCATTTTTGACATCTATTATTTAATCAGCAAAAGATGGAAAAATTAATCAAAGAATGTTAGATTTCTTTTTAATGTTGTAACTATGAAAAAGGAGCTAAAGAAAAGCAAAGTACATTTAATGTATTTACATTTAATGTAAATATCCCCATGAAGGGGATATTTTCAGAACATAATATGTTATAGATATTTGGTTTTGTTTACCTTGTGGTAGTTTCAGGGGATGGAAAAAAACAAACCAGAAGAAGTCTCTCAAAAAGCTATTATAATTATTTCATATATTAAAAGTATAATTTTATTATGTTTTTAATCATTATTATTGAAAGTATTACATAAGCCCTCTTTTTCCCCCAATAGCCCCTTCTAGCCCATCCCTACCTCCAGACTCAGGCCTAAAAAGTATACTTTTAAACAAAATAAAACAATGGAGCACTCACAATATCTTCAACTCAATAAAATTAATGTGCTTACCAAACTTCAAGGGACATTTCCAGAATCATTTCAGTGACCTGTAAAAGATTTATTAGGTTAGGTCATTAATAGATGTGTGTTACATACAATGCAAATGAAGTCAAAATAATTGTTCAGTGGCAGATTATTTTTAACCTAAACAAAAACCCTAAGAATAAAAGTGTCATAGCTCCATGAGGACCTTAAATGACAGGTGTATTTCAATATATATATTTTTTGCTATTGTTTACAGTATAAATCTACTTAAAGTCATCTTAGCAAATTTAAGAATTGCCTTTGTATGGCTTTCTTCTTCACTCACAAAAATGAAGTGGTTCAGTTCTACAATCATTATTTCACAGGACATAAAACTTGTCTGAGCTCTAAAACATATAAAGATGTTCTATCTATTATTCAGGATAATTATTTTATAATATAAATATTATTCGGGCCTCAAAACCAGAGGCTGAAATGGCTGGAAGATTAAAGAAAGCCTGCGTGTGCATTTGGGACATGTGCGGACTATAGTGAACAAGACAGAACACCTGCTCAGGTACCTAGGGACCAACCAACTGTGGTCAGGTCAAGAAACATCTCCAAATCAATGTGGGGCTCAGGTTTTTATTTTGCCAACACTGTGTAAGCCAAGACTATGAACTTATTGTATAAAAAGACCTTATCAACACTCTGCTTGCCATTAGTTATGAATAATGTCACCAGAAGAACTAAATGATAATGTACTTGAAAGGTTGTTACCCAACTGTGAGATGGTGCTATTTTTTAAACATTGATTTCTATAAGAATACAGTTAGAGTTAACCTATTCAATACCTTCAATAGAACAGAACTAGAATATGCCTCTTCAAACATGAAGGGGATATTTTCAGAACATAATATGTTAATAGATATTTGGTTTTGTTTACCTTGTGGTAGTTTCAGGGGATGGAAAAAAAACAAACCAGAAGAAGTCTCTCAAAAGGTTATAATAAGTTCATGCATGATTCTCAGTACTAAATTTTATGAGTACAAAAAAGGTATTAAAATCATCTGTACAAAAATTTGCCTCTCCCACTAAACTGTAAGTTCTCTCTTATATAGGTCTCTATTTCTAGTTCATTGCACGGTATTTGGCATATAACACGTAATCAATAAATATTTGTTGAATTACTGTGCATGTGTATGTGAGAGGAAGAACGCCAGGCAACCTTTTCTTACCAAGAACATCTCATTATTTCTCGAGATAAAATCATGGACTGGCCCAACCCAGATAATTTTTGTTATGTGAAGAACGCTATGAACCTTCATTCATCAAAGCAGTGTTTAAATATTACTTTGAAGTTAATAAATCATCAAGAATCCCAATAAAATGGTTTTTATTTTTTAATGTACTCAGATGAATCATAGTTCAGTTATAAATAAAAAATGTGAATGACTTCTAAACAATTAATGTAATTGCTGTCTGTTCTACTAATGAAAGCACTGCTTAGATCACAACCCAACACATTATGTCTATTCTCCATTTCAAAATTTCAAATGGAATCTTTGCCAAAGAGGGATTGAAAAAAAATTACAGCCCTAGCCCATTTGGCTCAGTGGATAGAGCATCAACCTATGGACTGAAGGGTCCTAGGTTCAATTCAGGTCAAGGGCACATGCCTGTGTTGTGAGCTTAATCCCAAGTTGGGAGCGTGCATGAGGTAGCCAATCAATGATTTTCATCATTGATGTTTCTATCTCTATCTCTCCTTTCCCTCTCCCTTCCTCTCTGAAATCAATAAAAATATTTTTAAAAGAAAAAGAATTACAAAAAATGAGATTACTTTAGATGTTTAGTAAGAAAAACAAGACATGGGTAAAAGCATAGTCTGTTGCAATAAATAAATAGGTAAATAAATAAATAGATAAGTAAATAAATACAGGGAAGCTGCTATTAAAATGATAGTAGATTTACTGTTTTTATCTTGAGAGATCAAAGCACCATGGGAGAATAGAAATTTTTAAAAAACCAACAATATTACAACTCAATATGGAGTTTTCTATTAAATGGGAGGATCCAATGCTGGAATAGGCTTCCTATTCTAAGATGTTACCTCCCAACAGAAAGTGTTTGGAGAAAAACTGGCCCCACACAGTTTATTTAAAGTATTCAATAGCTGAATATATCTAATGCCTATTTGTTCTCACAACTTAATAAGTACAAAGAAAAATCAACAGTGCTCTGTTTCTGATCATTATGTCTTCTCCAAGGGACTGTCCCTTCCACGTCCATCCTCAGCGTTTCTTGGCTAAGGAGTTCACAGTCTTAGACAGACTGATAGGATTCTTCCAATGAAGGCAGAAGGAGAGAAGAGAAGACACCGGATTTCCCTGCCATTTGGAGAACAGGATGGGTTGCCATGGTTCTGGTCCTTACTTCCGCCCGCTGCCCAAGTGGATCACCCACCATCAGGAGGAAATAGTAAACTCCCCCACTTGGTACACTATGTTCAGACATGCTGGGAAGCTGACATTCACCATCTCTCCACACCTTTTACTTGCAACATGTGATTCAGATAAAATAGCCACAAAAATATGCACTTCCTGCGGCATTATGCAATTATTATAAATGTCTTCCCACACACTGCATGAAGCATCTCTCCATGCCAATCAACCAGGTTGCTCATCTTCATCGAGGCACTTAGAAGGAAAGGTGACCAAATTTCCCCATCACATTTAGTTAAGAACAAATGAGAAGAATTCCACCTTTTCTAGGAACTATAAATGCAAGAGTGGGCTGTACTCATTGAACATTCTTTGGGGAAACAACATTCTCTTCTTTGAATTCCATCATGAAAACAATTGTAGATGCTTGCAATGGGAGGTGTTCCATTGTGGGGGTGGGGAACTAGAGCAGAAAAATTACTAAAAAAAATAAAATAAAAAGCCATTTCAGACTTAATTAATTTTGAAACTATATAACCCACTAATTCTTTTGCAAATTTTTCCAGTATCATTTTGAAACAATAAAGCTAAGGTACCAAGCATAAAGCCTGGCATGAAGGAGGTCCTTTAAAATTATTATTACAAAAAGATGCAAATGGTCAAATAATTTTGTGGCTCTAACAAGGAGGTGCACACAGAAATTACCGCTCTGCCAATACCAGCTAGGTCACAGCTAAATAAATTTTACATGTTTAAAATTGAGTAAGATACTTCTAAAATCATTTTTTAAATACATATGATTTTCTATAACATTAACATTTGTTCTTTTATTAAGATATTATTTACATATAATATTATATTAGGTTCAGCTGTATAACAGAATGATTCGTTATTTGTATATATTGCAAAATGATCATCATAATTAGTCCAGTTAACATGTGCTTTCCTCATAAAATAAAAATAGTATTTACTACCAGGAATCATCTCATCTAACACCCAGGAATTCAGGATAAGTGTGCCTCTCCCACCCCCAAATATCCCAGATCATTTTCAAAGACTTAAAAGATTAAAAATATTCTTTTCCCTTCTAGCCACGTCCCACTCTATCACAGAGTTTTCCTCCTTATATTTATAGCTTCCTTTCCTCAATTTAAGGTCCTTTTTCCTTCCCAGTGGACACTGGAGATTCTGAAAGAGCTTGTTATCACTAGCTCCCATATAAAAATAACAATTTCCTAAAGCACTACTATGTAATCAAAATACTCTTTCTTCAAATGGGAATCTCTCAGATGCTCTAGTTTTTCTCTCTTTTAAACTTCATTCAATTTCGTTACAATTATCTGAGCACTTCCCAGGTTTTCTGTATTTCCCCTAAGTGTAATCATTGATCCATTCATCCAAAAATGATTCAAGTGACTGATGTGGGTCAGGCTGGGTATGCAATGGTGTTCTACTCCCTGAAGGAATTTAGGTACAGCCATGGACCCCAAGGGCACAAGGACATTATAAAATGCCCTAAAATTTAAAATGTATAAATTGCACAAGTGTCAAAAAAAGACTCACTTAAGCTCCTATTGCTAGTATGCCAAAATAAAAATGCAGTCTCTCTTAAAGCCAGGAATTATTGGACCCACATTTGAACTCTGCTCTGTATCAATCTGACGGCATCTCGTCTTAGCCAAAGATTTCCCAAATTTCTCACAAAATGATAACGTTCTCCTGTTTTTTCTTCAAGTTCTGCTTTGTCTCATTCTCTTAGATGAATTGCAGTCTTTGTCTTCACACATCAATACATAGTTTTCCAATACAATCATCCTGATTCTATCTTTATATTCTATACTCACCACCAAAACTACCATTTTTTAAAGTTTTGCCACTATCTCTTCTGTAGAAATATCTTGTTCATTTTCAAATTGCAATCTTAGTAAGTAATGATAATAATAAAAAAAATCAGCCAAAATCCTATATAATAAAAGTCTAATATGCAAATTGACCCCTCAAGCGGTTGTTGGACTGGGAGTTCAACTGCTATGATGTGCGCTGACCACCAAGGGGTGGCAGTGGAGGTGCTGCTGATCTGATGGGCCATGAGGAGAGTGGGACAGTGACAAGATGGTGGAGCAGGTGAGCGGGCAGCACCAGGTCAAGGTGAGTGTGAGCAGGGGCCCGATCACCCTATAGACAGCAACCAGTGGTGGCAGTTAATCACCCTATAGACAGCAACCAGTGGTGGCAGTGGGAGATGGGGCCACCACCCAGCTCCCAGTCTGAGGGAGTTGGGCAGGGGCCCAGCCCCAATTGATCACCCCGCAGGCAGGATGGTGGAGCAGGTGAAGGGGTGGCACCAGGCCAAGGTGGGGTGCCAGGCAGAGCTGTGGGGCTGTGAGGCTGGGGGCCTGAGTTGGGGCCCAATCTCCACAGGCCACCCCAAGGGACCCCAACCATCATGAATCCGTGCACATCTGGGCCTCTAGTTAGATAAAATAGAAGCCCATGAGACATGACCATTTTTAAACAGAACACTAACTTCTCAATAAAGATAGCAAATTGAAACACCATCTAATGTAAATTTAGAGGCTACATTCTTCAAAGTATTGGCCAAAACAAACTGATTTTTCATCTAGAGAATGAAGAAGTTT